TGTAGGTTAAACTCTCTGACGTGAGGATTTAGCTCAAAGTGTCGATGTACAGTTACACAGAGATACTAATCACGTAACATCACTGAAATATCTACTTGCAAACTTTTATATGACCTCATTATTTTTTCAGTTTTACAAACGATGCATGCTTTAGTTAAATTATTCGCTTTGTTTTAAAGACTATATCTGATATAAATAAATAAAAATTAAACTTTTTTCCCCCTTTATTAAGCTGCACTAAGCAGAATTCTGGAAGAGGCAAAAAAAAATTACTAATTTTTAAAAATGTTTCCAGTCTCCGGCTTGATTTTCTTAAATTTTTGCCAAATGATGCCAAACAAATAGAGCCAGCCTCATCTTTAATGTGTCATATGTCCTTCTTCTGCATTAAGGAGGACGTATCGTGAGCGAATTAAGCAGTCGACGACACGGCTGAGCATTTCCACCAACTGCAGTGCATCGATGACGGTCTCAAAATAAGAACCCAGACTTCCAGGGTGTCACAGATAACAAACATAAGAAACACATCATGTCATCTAGCAGGGTGAAGCTTTCTGTATTAAGATTTGGTGTCATTTGTGGCTCCAGTTAGTTTGTCCCAGTTAGTTCGTTTGTTGGAGATAAAGTGAGGGATGCCATTTTTTAGTTTAGATTAGCTTTTAAGAACTTATTCCGTGATTGGAAAGCGGCTTCCAGGAATAAGAGGATCACGCCACTACACAGATTCTCACACCGCTATTGTCATCAGCAAACTTTTGTTGTGATTATCTTGAGTTTCAATCACACTTTTCAAGGAAGACAGGCGATGTGAACTGCTGCTCCAGGTATGACTGCTGCTGTTGTGTCAAGACCAGTTCATGAAAATCTTCCTTGAAATAAACAGAGGCACAGTGTAAATGTACTGCTGCTCGTGTGTCACTGTCCTCTCTCCAATAACGTTTCTTACCAGTCAGTTGACACAGCGTCACCACAGGAGGGACCTGTTTGCTGATGCTGATGAAACGAGCAGGAATAGCAGCTGACTTCATGAGCAACCGCTAGTGAAAACACAACATGAAAAATGTCCACAGCTGCTGACATTATGAAGTTGATGAATCCCTTGAAACACGAGGCCAGAAAGTCACACAACAGACTCCAAGTGGTTACTATTATTAACCCCTGGTTTCTTCTGAGAGGAAACTCATGGGAGTTCACTTCATAAAAGCTTGAAATAGATACAGATAATAGATAGGGTGATACTGAAAATGCAAAACACAAACTACAAACTGGTCTATGTTAGAGCTATGTTTAGTGTGCAGCCATTACAAAATGAGTAGTGCTTGTCTAGTGGGCAAAAGTGGAACTTTTAAATGATTTGCACAGATGTAAGGACACTTTCTGCATTCAAACAATGCACAGTCTGTGAAAGATTCATCTCCTATCCAGTGCATATATATATAATCAAAAAGCAAACAGTGTCATTTTTATGCAGATTAAACCATCAGGAATAAACCAGCTTATGGAAAACCCCTCAACAGACGTCTATATTGTTTTTGTGCTTGTGGAAACTACAAAGTTATTCATAAACATTGTACAGATGCATTCCAAAACATAACATTTCATCGGCCTTGCATGAAAACAAATACCAACAAGTTTACTGGAGAAGTGACAACTAAATCCCATACTGACTGGTAGGATGCTCAAAGTCAGAACAGAAAAACACTAAAGGATTGTGATCAAAGCAAACGCTGTGAACCCACACGGTGTTTCAGCTTCTGTAGCCCACAAGTAAGTTACAGCACATCGCTGATCTTAGAGGAGATAAGAGTCAAGGTGGGGAAATTTACATACAAAAAAACACATGAGTAGGCAGACATTGACATGTTAAGCAGAAATAAATTTCCTGTGAAGGAGATCTTTCAATGTCCTTTTCTAGTTTTAATCATTTGATTCAGAAACTTCATGCAATCAGTTTTGACTTCAGCGCAGCTTCGGTTAAAAACACAGACAGACACCCTGCAGGGCTGAACCCTGCACACAACAACAACCATGTTTCAGACTTTGCTCTGCAACACCTTAACACTCAGATTAGGATCACACTGCTGACGTTCTCTCTACGCACTAAATTAAGTCAGTGAAGTGTGAAGTGTGCACTTCCTGCACGATTACAGTTCAGCTCTGAAGGAGGAACATGCAGCAAAAAGTACATCAGTTTTGTCTTTTTCTGCATTTCTGCTTTCTAAAGCATTCAGATGAAAACACAAGAAGGCACTCGTACATATTTCGCTCCTGAAGCAGCAGCCATTTCTCACCTTCCTCCTTATGAAATGAATGAAATGAAATGAAAAATACTTTATTTATCCCAGAAGGGAAATTCAATTATGCATCAAATGGAAAAATACTCATTCACGATGACATTAAAAATACCCCTTTAACCAATATTGAAGAAAATTTCAGTTATGTGACACAGTTATGTAAAATAAGGAACTTGAATTCAGTTCAAAATTTACTGAAAAGGTTTGCAATAGAGGAACTAACACCAAGTTTTTATTATATTTACAATTAGACACACTTTGACAGGAATAACCATTTTACAGCAACTTTAGAATTTGTAGAAAATCATCTGCTCCTTCACTTTCATTCAATAATCTTTGAGCATGAAAATATTTTTTGCTTAAGCATGAAAAAATAAGTTTGCCTCGTTAAACGAGGAGCAGCACGTTAAACAACATTCAGTTATGTGACACTCTTTTAAAACAAGGAACTTGGATTGAGTTCCAAACGTATTGACAATGTTTGCAATAGAAGAACTAAGTAGAAAAAAAGTGTAATAGGTTTTAATAGCTAGACTTTATTTATAAGTTATTAAAGTTTTCTACTGAGGCAGCCCTGTAGATATGTTTTAGATCATGACTGAACAGACTGAACAACTGCTCCAGTGAATCGCTCAACACGACTCAGCAGCTCACCTGCATCTGAAGGACACAAGACCACATTTAGTGACAGCAATGTTCACAATCTGCAGAGAGAAGACAGATGCTTTGAGAAAAGACTCAAGAAGGCATTTGTGTTAAACTACAACAGCCATCTTGAGATTGACAGTTTAGACCCTGACAGGTTGACCACCCATTCACACCTCGAGGCATGTGAGTCCCTAACAGGCCACTAGAAACGTGATTTGGGTTGAGAATAAATATCTGGGACTCCCCATCAGTCAGTTAGAGCTGAGGAAGCCTCTTGGATTAGAGATGAAGCATCAAGAGTCTTAAAAATTCCTCTAGTCCTACTAAAATAACAAATCTTTGAATATGCAAATATTGTTTGTTTTAAACCTTTAACAGCTGGAGAAAAGATGCCTCCTACTTCCCTAAAGAGTCCGGGTGTATGTATATGAGAATGTACACATCTGCCTTGTTCGTGTTACAAGCCGAACAACATCAGCTACCGTCCAAACCAGTTGTGATGTTACAGGTTAAACTGAGGTTTAAGGTGAGGACAGACAGGCGTTCTACCTTCCTCAGATCAATGTGAAAACAGACCTTGTGGGAAACAACAATAACATCTATGAGCAGTGAAGGGCTTCAGATTTCCTCAAATTGGGTTTCCTGAATCTTTCAATAAAACGTGTTTCAAATAAGTGCTACCAGTTTGAGACGAAACCATGTGGAGAGGAAACATCTCCACAGGAAAACTGACTAATTGAGGCTCTTTTCATGAGTTGCTTTCTCACTGTAAACACTTAGGTGAGCTTTCAGAATGTCAGCAAGCAGAGGGAATGTTTGAGTCAGCAGACGTCTCACGTGGTGCGTGGCACTGATCAGATGCGGCATCATTTTTACACACTAATCTACGTTGTTCATCTCTTGTCATTTAACATATGACTTGAATAAAATCCCCCGCCACATAAAAATGTGTCCTTCTTACTTCTTTTAGACGTTTAAGCTTTACTGTGCAGACCGACGAACTTTAAACTTTTACAACAGCAGATATTTCCATGGGAGGGCGAAGAAGTCGTTGGACTTTCTGGTAACCTTCATCCTCAATGTGTCATTTTCATTCGATTTCAGGGACAATCCTCATTTTACAAGCACATGCAAAAGATGGAGAAACACAAAGTCAAACAGCGATAGAAGGCGAATACATGACATCACATAAATAAACAAAAAAAACACAGCAATGCTAAAAATTGCTGGAATTGACATTTAGACAAACAAATGGAACAAAAATAATGAAAAGTATTCAAAAATATAAAGCAGTGACCGTTAAAATCAATAAAAGATGCCGTAAAATCTTGGAATTGTCTATTAAAGAGGCCAACGTATTCTTTTTAATTTGAATTTTTTTCATTTACGATTTTAAAAAAGTAAAAATATAAAGAGAAAAGCACAAAAGTTTGGCTGTTTAAAAGCCTACTGACTGTGTATGTGTTGCATTATGTGCAGCTCTTTAACTCACATTTACATTTTCCTGCTATAGTTCCTTAAAACTGATGGCAGCAGGTCTCATCTCAAAAATGAAACACTCAGACTAACTGTCCTTTTAGTTAGAATGACAAACATAGTGAGTTGCAGATGCGTAATCTGAGTTTTTTTTTTTCACTGAAAATCGCATTCAGTTCTTTGAAAGCAAAATGAGCGCCAAGAGCTCCTGAAGTCACAACATGCAAAGTCAGTTGTGTTCCTATTTTGAGTCACAATGAACCTTAGAGAGCCTGTCTTCATTACTGGCACAGACAAAAGACTAAATATTCAAATTTAATTCATTGCTGGGCCACTCTTGCGTTTCAGAGTGAGTTCGTGCAGTTCGACCTCTCGTGTTGATCAACTCTATTTGTGGAAAGAAGAAGTTCAAGCAAGGCGGCTATTTCTGCAAACTCCAGGGGACATACCGTTTTCTTCTTGATGTGTGTGAGTCCTATGAACTGTGTCAAAATGTGAGCCCGCCCCTCCACGCTGACTGCAAAACTCCCCAAAATATTTCCTTCTCTTTGACTCTCAGGAGAGCCGCCACTGTGTGTGTGTGTGATGGCAGTGAACAGCAGCAGGTTGTGGGTGTGAGATTGTCCTCAAACCTTCTTTTTTTTTGGTTTCAGTCACGCAGTCAGCCTCAGGCGACATGGTTGGCTGCGGAGTTCACACTGACTTCTTAGGCACAAAAAGGTTTGCTCATGTGAGCCTTTCACATTTTCTGCTCTTTGGTAAGTGGCTTTTCTGTTTCTACTTGACAAATATTCACAATTAACTGTTTAAGGAGAAAATTCCAAGTCGGTCGTCACCATTGTTTTTGTACAGTTTTCTTTCTTTTAGGAAATAATTCAATCTCTCATTCTGTTATCCCCACTCCAGGTTTTATGCTTTCTTATTTCACTCCACTCTCCCTGCATGCTCAAGTACGTCCAGGTAGGCTCACGTCACATTTTGTCACAACATTTTTTTGCTTGTTCATCAACATATTGCAACTCAAATATCAATGTTTTCTTCATATTGCGTCTAATAAAAAGTTTCCTCAGATGAAAAAAGCTTATTTTTGTGTTTAAAAAAAAGGACACAAATAAGACAAAAAGTAGCAGAGTTGGAGTTGGGTTTTTTCCATAGTGAGAGAATTCTTGTGAAAATGAAATATGCAATCTGAGCTTATTGATCTACTTTCACACGTCGTCCTTTTCGTATCATGTTCCAGTGAGGTGCAAGCCAAAGAACATCTCTGCCCAATATCAGCATTGTGGCAATCACTCGGGTAATAAATGCACGTTTGAGTCATACTGAGTTGAATCATCAGGTTTAAAATCAGATTAGAGGCAGTGAGACGTTCTGGTGTTATTCCTCTCTTACAGATGGAGTCCATGACTTAGACTGTTTCAGTAAACATAATTCACTTGGTAATATAAACTGTGTTTGGAAACCTGGCAAGCACATGTCCAAAAAGACATACACACTCATCATCCAGCAACAGTAAGAGAGTTGATGTTTTTCTTTTTCTTGCTTTACAAAACTAAGAAAAATGGTGATTTTATGATAACCGTGTAATTTGTCTCCTCCCAGGAGCAAAAATTACTGCAGAATTTGCCGCAACATGACTGAATTGTCTAAAGCCATCACAATATATAAAGATCAAAACCTGACCGCGGAGGTTTTTGAAAACAGGTCAGGAAACTGCACAAAAGCAGTGTTCAGAGGTTCACCAGAGCACTTGTGTAAGTCCACAGAAATATTTCTATGAGCACATTTTTATTTTATTTGTTTTTTTGTCATTAAAAATTTCTAATTAATATGAACATTGGATTTAAAAAAAACAACAACATAAAAACTATTTCAGTGCGATGTGGTCCTCCAAGTCGTGTGTCCTTCAGCCGTCACTCTGGAAGACTAGATGTGAACGTGGGCTGGAAACCGGAGGACGCAGAAGCCGTCAAGAATTACTCTGTGAGGTATAAAGCGGTGAGCAGCCCATCATGGAACAAGGTCAGTGTTAGATGCCTGTTTCATCAGCATGCATGGTTTTCAGTCCAGCTAATGTTTTCTTTTTCCATTAGTCTTCATGGGGTTAAAAAAAACAAAAAAACCAGCAACCAAGTAAAATCAAAGACTCAATTAAAAAAAACAAAAAAAACAAGGTAATGCAGGTAATTAGCCTTAAACCAAAGTGTTGCATGAAAGGTTAGTCTATTCAACAGTTGCTGGGATATTTCAGTGTGGACTGAAGTGGTGCAGCAACAGGCCAACACTGCCATCGCTACTCTGGGAAAGAAAAGGAAAAGATCTAGCAGCAATAGGGAAATACTGCAATGGTCAAAAACTGCAAAAAAATTGTCCAAATAACAGCAAGTATCTGGAAAATAATTATATTATTAGTTGATTTAAATACAGCAAAACAGAATAATTTTACGGTCACATGTCATGAAAGAACAAATAATTATCTGGAAAAATATAGTTTTTTAAGGTGGAAATTCTGTACACTTTTGCTCTGTTTTATTTACTTATTTACATTTAATTTATACTTTTACTTACTTTTGTACTATTTCACTTTGATTTTACTACATACCATCTGTCTTTAAGCAAAAACAGAGAACATCTGCAAAGTATCGGTTTAAAAAATATTTGCTATTTTTCAGTCCCTAATATTCATGTTTTTTTTTTCTTTCAAATAACATTAAATATCTGCAAAATAACCTATTTTGCTGTTTTAAATACGGTTTAAAAAAGGTGTAATTTTATAATCAAATGGTATAAAATAATAAATTATCATTTGCCAAAACAAACACACAGTTAACACGGAAATTAAGGTTTTTGTTTTTTGTGATTTTACTTGATGTTATTTGTAATTTAACAAAACAGGAAAATCTATAGAGTAGTAGTAAATTGTTCAAAATCTTTGACTAAAAACAGTAAAAATAAATAGATAATCACTTTTTACAGTGTAAACCCATGATGCTAACAAGTAAATACTGGACAGTACAAATTTACAGCGAAATAGTAGCATCTGTAGTTGGTCCTTCCTTTGTCTGTAAAATGAGTTCATCAACAACCCACAGGCCTTCTGTCAACTTCTAATCTCCATCAACTCAAAACACTTCTTTCTCAACCTTTACAGTTTGAATAACAGTAACAGGCCGATACATCAGGCTGATTAAATGCCAGTTTCAGGTAATCAGCATCGACTGATCACCACCTCATGAGGCTGGTAAACAAAAAAAATGTCTGCAGACCTGAAATAGCACATTGACGATACATGAAGTCTAAAATCAGCGGGGAACTTTGCAAAACAAAGCATACGTCACGAATCGAAATTAGCTGCTGCACAGAAACGTGTTATCAGATGATTCCATATACAGCAGCACAGGACACTGCAACACCAGATGTCAGCAGGTTCACCACATCAGTACAATGCTTGATTTTTAATTCATTCATTCATTAGTTGCTGCAGTTTTTAATTCAAGTAAGTGCACCGCAGACAGAGTGTAGATTTATTTAAGCCAACAGACAATATAACTGCTTATTTAAGTTCAGAAAATTTGTAGATGTTACTATTATTATCAATAAATTGTTGTATTTACAATATGATGTTGGCATTATACATCATCGGACATCCTGTTCTCTAACTGTCAGCATCAACAAACCCAAAACGGTTGATCGCTACTGAATATTAGTCATCATGAACTGACCTTTATGTGTGAAAGTGGAGGGCCCCTATCAGGCTGGGATGTTTTTAGATGCTGTCATCTGTGGCTTTGTGTATGTCTCTGCTCTCAGCTGCAGATGGATCAGCTGATTAAACAAAGATCATATAAATAAAACATTAATCTTGCTTCAATTTCTGTTCCGTTCACAGACAAATGCGACATCCAAAAATGAAAGCAGCTGTAGCGTGGACGATCTAAACTCCTCACTGGTCTACATCGTCCAGATTCAGTGCAACAGAAATAAAAAGTGCTCACAGTGCCCATGGAGTGAAGCCTACAGCGTCCCATCAGGTCAGCATGCTCTCGTGTGGTTTGGTTTGAGCTAAAAATAGTAATAATGAAGGCATAAATAAAGCTTCTATGTATTCGGTTAATAGTAGAAATGTGCTTCACTGAAAGGCTACAAGAACAGAAAAACATCAAATCAGAAGCTGAAAAGTGAAAAACATAAATGTCTCCTTTCAGAACTGACAACGCGTCCTGTTATTGTCAACCTTGAAGTTACTGACATCACAGAGAAAGAAGGCCGCCGGCGGGTTTCTATAACCTGGAGGGTAAATCTTCCTTTTAAGTGTCCCTAAACAGGAAGTATAGTGGGGGATAGATATCCTGGGTAGCCATAATTGATGAATTTATGACACTAAAATAACCCTGTTTGGTAGTTTCCAGCCAAAGAGCAGAGTGACGACTACTATGTGACCATCGAGAAGGCGTCAGGAGAGGCTCCACGTCAGCAGATGAAAACCTCTCAGCCTGAGATCACACTGATTCTCTCCTATTCGGCTTATCAGCTCGACATCAGCGCTGCCAACAATGCCAGCATCTCTCCAGCTGTAAGCCAGATAATACCACAGCGTGAAGACGGTCCGTACCCACCGGTTTCTCATTTCATCCAATATTTATTATCGCAGTGCAGACCTGACACTGTCTCCAGCCCAGAGTTATGAGATCTGAACAAAGTTTACGTCTGCAGGTATGAGAGAGGAGAAGCTGAACGTGACAGTCCACCACAACACGTCCTTCACTGTCTATTGGAAAGATGATCTCATCAGAACCTTTGTGTGCTACTCTGTGGAGTGGAGGGAAGAGGGGGAAAAGACAGTGTACATGTCTTTTTATCAGGATGCACAAAACAGCAGGACCTTGTTTCCTTTACCAGGTACGTCACTAGTCACACTGTTTCGCCAAGGATCTTTTGAAGGACTGACAAAATTGTGTTCCGAAGTAAGATTTCAGTAAAATTTTCATCCTGGAGCCTGTAGTGACATCCAGGTTGTGGTTAAGTTTAGCCAATAAGAGCACTTTAGTTAAAGGTAGGGAAAGATTAAAGAGCCCCTCCTGAGAAAATCAAGTTGTATTATTACCCCGTTAACATGTCCATATGGTGTTTTATGGTATGTATGGTGCTAGAAGGTATATCATGACTGAAATAAGCAGTTAACACCATGGCCGAACATTTTCACCTTAAAGCTGCAGTGTACCGATGACTAGCCAACTAGCTGGGTGGAGCTTTCTGTATCATTATTCTTCAGCAAAATCGAATTCTGGTGCAAACATTTATGGCTGAATTACTCCAACTCGGCACTGTGTAGCCTACAGTAGCTTTACAGTGTTTGAGCAGTCATAGGTGAGCTGGTATGCTCGAGCTGCAGCAGGCGGCATAAGGGTGGTTGGATAAAGAGGTGGGGACTTCATAGATCTGTTTTTGTGTAATTACTCTCACTGCCAGACGGGGCAGACAAACGTTCCACTCGGGAGTTTGCATACCAGTGATAAAAACTGTAATTCAGATGGCGTTATGTTTCCTGCAAAACGTATTTGCTGTTGGAGAGTTGCGTTAGCATGCAAAGATAATGTCGCGATTAATAATCATCCATCTTGGTTATTTCAATCTCCCAGAACCCCTGAAGCCTTACAAGAGATACAGCATCACTCTGCACACGCGACCGAACAAGGACACCTGCAACATGAAGCACATCAACAACAGTGAGAGCACCTACGGGAGCACACAGTTTTATTTCATGGAAGGACGTAAGTCTCTCTCTTCTCCAACATTTACAACACACATATCCTACCATCCACTAACACAACAGTTGGACTTCTTGGTATCATAAAGAACTCTGTCTTGATTTTCCCACAGCTCCTGCCAGGGCTCCCTCCAACATCAGCAGCTACAACAAGACGCTGAAGTCAATGGTGTTGCAGTGGTCGTCCATCCCAGAGGAGTACATCAGAGGATTCCTGCTGGGTTACATAATCCACTACACCGAGTACCACCAGCGGGGGACGAGCACTGAGAACAGTAAGTATCACACACTAATAACTGGAGGTAAACAGCTGCTTTGTTTTCTCTCGGTCTCCAGAAGTTCATGAACAACACAGTCTGCAGTCTTCACACTGAAAATTTCCAATGAGGTGTTAGAATCTGACACAGTAACACAGCTGTGAAATGTTGTTGTCATAAACATCTAAAAACTTGTTAGTTTGTCTGCTCAACAGTGTAATGTTATTCCTCTTAATATGACTGATCACACAGTCTTCATGCTAGCGTGCTGCTTGATTAGCAGTTATGGTACAAACATTAAAGGTAACCACGTTCACCATCTAAGTTGAGCCTCATTTAATAACAATCAGTCCAGTGTTTGTTGTTGTGTTTCTGTCTGGACCAACTGATCGACCAACAAATGATGTTGCATTTGTCACTTTAGTGCAACTTTAAAGCAGATTTGTCAAAGTGGTCGAGCTGCTCAATTCACCACATATGAATCTTTATGATGATTTTAACTTCCATCCATCCATTATCTATATACACCGCTTAATCCTCATTAGGGTCACGGGGGGCTGGAGTCTATCCCAGCTAACTTAAGGCGAAGGCAGGAGACATCCTGGACAGGTCACCAGTATATCACAGGGCTACACTTAGAGACAGACAACCAAGCACACTCACATTCACACCTACGGACAATTTAGAATCACCAATTAACCTCAACATGTTTTTGGACCTTGTGGGAGGAAGCCGGAGAACCTGAAGAGAACCCACGCTGCATGAGGAAAACATGCAAACTCCACGCAGAAAGATCCCAAAAGATCCTTGCAGCCCTATGATTTTAACTTCCCACAGTTAATAGGCATGATAGTGATCCTTAAAACTCTCTGCTAATGAAAACTGAACCTGCAGCATCTGTGCAAAACTTTTCTGGATGTCTCGGCTTGCATCCAGAGTAGAAGAGTGATATTCAGCAGCAGTGCAAAAACAAATGACGTTCAGCAGGAACAGATCATATGCAAAGAGAGCATGAGACAAGTAACACAACTAGCATTTAAAACATCACAACCTGCAGTATCCAGGACAGCAATGTAATACAGTGCGTCACTGATTGCACATAAAAGTGAAAGCAGCGCTCTGGATGACTAATAAACAATCGTGATCTCAATATTGGTCAAAATACTTGTGATTATCATTGTGACCATAATCATGCAGCTCTACGAAGAAGTATGTTTAGTTTTGCTGAGAACTTTCTCTCTTTGTGTGCAGATGTTACAGTGGATCCTGAGTTTAACAGCTATGAACTGTCAGATCTGAAAAGTGGCACAGCATACAAAGTCCAGATAGCAGGCTTCACCTCTGCAGGAGCAGGACTACGAAGCCCAGCAAGAATCTTCAAAACAGATGATGACGGTAAAGTCGTTCAACAACTTTAAAACTGTCACCAGATGGATTTTCTGATACTTCTAATTGACATTAAATTCTTTTTCTGGATTTTCTTTCACAGCAAATTTCAACGTCAGCAGCATGATCGCAGTCTTTGCAGTGATGGCAATCGTGCTAATATTTGGAACGCCGTTAATAAAAAGGTACGGCAGCCACCAACTCAAATTGATTGCGGACATCATGTGTAGATATCTATATATGGTTTATATCCACTCTGTTTAGAGCAAAAGCCGTCCTGTGGCCAAGCATCCCAAACCCTGGAAACAGCAATGCAATGCAGAAAATAGACGGACCCTGTGAACTGGTAAGTGCCGGTTTGTGCTTTCAGTACCTACTGTTGTGGAAACCTCAAGCTGCCAGCAGGACTATAAAGAGAATTTGTCTTCTGCAAACTTCTAGCTGCAGGTAAAGTTGTGACAGCACACACGAGAAGCCACGCTGTATAATGTAGAATGAGTATACTGTGCTATTTTTCCCTCAGGAGCTCCTTGAGGCCATTAACACTCTACAGGTGGAAGAATGGGACACAAACAGTCTTCAGATCGTTGAGAAAGAAGCTGTGATTCCTGCCAGCACGTTGCCATCAGCGTTACTCTGTGCTGCAGAAGACGAGGAAGATTCACCAGAAATGATTTGTGACTGGTTCCAAATGGACACAGACAGCGCAGCGGGAGAGATCTCACCTGAAGATACCACAGACACATTGTTAGAAACACAACAGACAAACATCCAAAACGCTCCTTTGGTCTTCTCAAGTGGATATACCACCATGGAGATGTTTCAGCAGGGGATGCCGCAGGGTTTACCGGTGAATACAGCCGCAACTGAAGCTGTGGAAAGCCAACCGGAGGACATGACTGTGTCAAAGTCAGGGATGGACTATCTAAGACAGTTCAGTACCAGACTTGTCCAAACTTGGCCAGTGAGCAGTCATCCATGATTTTGTGATAAAAGTTGGACTGCAGAGCGTGAAGAGCCATGATCACTACATGAAAGACTTCACAGAACCATTGTCGGTTACTCACGATGATGAGCAGTGCTGCTGTTTGGCTGTTGCAGGTCAACAAGGTTGATTTAGGCTTATACCATGAATAGCAATAACAAAACTGTGTTTAGTTCATGTAAATGTGAAAAATTCATCTGAAAACTTGGCATGCATGATGTTGAATTTTAGATACTGGATTTGGATATCTGGTGAGATTGTTATTTCTAACCAAGAGATTTTGGCAGATGGCAAATACCAATAAATGCACATATTTTTCTACCTAATTACAGAGAACATCAGGTCTCTTCTGTAGAGGAGCTAACATATCATTATGTACGGTGGCCAAATGACGTGCATATACACAAACGAGCTGCATGTACATGAATGCATTGCATAAACAGAAACGCGCTGCAAAAAGAAAACGCTGCATATCCACTCACACAACGGAAGTGCCCCAGGCCTCTAGGGGCAGTAGTGAGCTTTTCACCTGAGAGGCAGACAACGGTGAGCGAGACAGGTAACGTTAATTGAGGGAAAAGCCAACCCAGTCTCAAGGCAGCTCGTGAAATAGTCACGAAACTTAATATTATTATTATTATTATTAACAATATTATTATTATTATTTTTATTGCTTCGTGTCCTGGGACCTGATTTGCCCAACTTTCCGTGTTCCCCAGCATGAATTTCAAACCATTACATTTCAATTGGAATTAACTTTCGTCTCTGGGATATGTTTTTTACCTGCTAGACAGCACATTAGCTGTGATGTTTTTGTTGTTCTTTTCTTCCGACAGTCAGGCATTAACCAGTTTTACTGTTCTGGCCCGTCCACACTAATAACTATACAGATGTGTGCGCCCACACTGACCAACGTTAGTGTGGTCTGAAAAGAAGGACGCATGCAGGAAAACGCCAACCGGAAGATGTACTGTGATCGCAGCAAGTGTAAAGTGTAAGAGTACATCATATTGTGGCATTTTTTGTGTTTTTGTTACACCGGCAGTGTTTGGGGGAAATTTGTGCTCGTGCTAAGGCAACCCTGTTAGTGTCGACGCACAGCCTCGTCGAAGACCCAGAAGAGATCCATCCTACAGAGTCTGTAATGTTTTTGTGTGCACAGTATTACTGGGTTGGCTTTTCCCTCAACTAACAGTCCTTGTCTTGCTCGCAGTTATCTGCATCTCAGGTGAAAAGCTCAGTACTGCCCCTAGAGGCCTGGGGCATTTTTGTTGTGGGGCACTTACGTTGTGTGAGTGGATATGCAGGGTTTTCTTTTTGCAGCGCATTTCTGTTTATGCAATGCATTCATGTATATGCATGTCATTTGCCCCCGTCGGCCACCGTAATTATGCCTACTCTTGCTGTGATGGCCCACTGGCAGACAGAAAATACAACAAACATTTGCTAGACTAAACTTAAACGCCAAACATGGCACATTCAGAAGCATCACAATCATGAGATTGGGACAGATGGACGTGCGGGAAACTCAAAAACAAAATGCATCCAAGCTTGTCTTTTGCTGGCATGGAAGAATAAAAAAGTTTGGAGGCAGTTCGTGAGTTTGGTCAGACTTTCTTCAAAGTATATTCAGGCCCCCGGCACAAACAATACATCGTATTCACAGTTGAGTGTCATCAGCAAAGTGATGAACATTATTGCATTATTCTGACTTTCTGTCCCCCAAGTATAGATGCAGAATTTTACTGGAGCTTTATGGAACGCCAGAGTCCACATTAAAACAAAAAGCAAAGACTTCAGCAATTAAAGAAAATAACTGAATGAAAAGCTTCTTTATTGAATGTTTTTGGAAACAGATCAGATGTGTAGTTAGAGTCAAACTGAGGGGGATCATGTAGAATACATCCAAGCTCTTCAAAGACATTTTTACCAAACCTTTACATCGAGTCCCAAATGCAGTATCAAGCAGCCAATCACCCCGAAGCAAACCATCACACATCTCTGCAGTATCTACCAGGATACACAGATATATATATATAAAAACAAAATACAGTTCCTCACATACCGTCTGAATGCTTTTCACTAAACTTTCACCACGAGTTCACCACCAACTGAAGCCTTTTGTACGTAAAAGAGCAGGAAACTCAAATAAAAGCAACAATAAAATCAGTGGAATTTGGCAAAGATCGCCATAAAGTCTCTTTTTAAAAGTAAAACTTTTAAAACATAAGTCTCCACAGACATTTAAAAAAAACAAACATTGATCTCTGGGACCAGTTTGCAGACATTTTATAACTGAATCACGATACTGCAAACTGCAACATCAAAATTGACAGAAACAAAAGTCAAACCAGAAAACAAAGTCCAATGAATGTTTCGTCTATTCTGCTATTAATTACTAAGGACAGCTTACAATACTTTAATATAACATCTCATTAGACTTATCTATTCCACATCCTAAACAAATCTCCGTATTTTATTAGAATATTCTGTACAATCTTAGTCTAGGCACTTTTTGACCCTTCTGTGCTTGCATGCAGTTTGTTGACCTGTGACATTTCATGTTCAGCTTCATCCAGACTGCGAACAGCGTGAGCTTCTCACTTTCTCCAGTAAAATGAGCCGACAAACATTTTTCCAAACCGCTCATAGTTTTACAGTATAGGCCTGTGTCGATTGTGTATATAAAACAGTAAATAGTTTTTGTCTCACAGCATTACAACAATAGCAGGACAATGGAACATGAAACACTGTGATCTTGTCGCAACCACCAGCTGGAAATATAAAAAAAATAAAACAAAGTAAAATACATGTACACCCATACAAACAAAAAACAGGAACAAAAGCAATGTGTCCATCACGTCGACCAAATGAGAATTATTTATACAACACAGCAAGAACGTAATCTGCAGTCTCATAATTACAAGTCATACAAGTCAACTTCAAGTCATAAAATCACTGTAGATTTTGCAAAACGCCGCAGTTCCCATGTGATGAAGAAACATGGTGCAAAACAGGGAATAAAAGACACTTCACAGACCGCAAACATTCCTTCAACACACACACACAAAAAGGGCAAATGAGCATTTCAGCATCAGCAGAAGCCTCTTTTACTTAATCCCAACACTGAGGGCTCAACAGGAGGGACCCTGCATGTCTTGAAATTTGTATTAACTATGTAATGCTGCTTCGCTCAGTCAACGAGCAAACTAAATACGAGAAGTTGCTGTTAGAGTCACACAACAGACAGAGCAGGTTACACCCTACAAGGCTTCACGCCGACAGAAACTAATGTTACTGCACAAGATGAGAACTTAAAACATCCTGCATTAGGTAAAATGACACTGGCCTCCTAAGACTTGCAGGGTTTTTAGTTTTTGGTGTGATCAGACAGCAGGATGATCGGTGCACACATCCAACAGGCGCAGAAGCAAAACACAAAAAAACAACCCAGCAATGTTTAAATTCTTTGCTTCTCAGCCGAGATACAATAAGTCCAGATGTTTATATATATTACAATTATTATTAAATTCATGTTCGATGTATTCACAAACGTAGCTGACAAAATACACAGCATGAAGCACTTTCGAACTTAAAATTGAAGTCCTCTGTTTTTATATTCAGGCTACATCTACACGAATACGTTTTCCTTTTAAATTAGCTTTTTAAAATGAAACCGATCTCGATCCTGACTTTAGCACCATTTCTGAAATAATCTGTGTGCATACCAGTGTGTCTGAGAAAGCATTTCATGTGACCGTTCATGTCCACAGGGCATGTGGCTCCTGGTGTAAACATGAAGCAGGGGGCTGTTTGCTTAGTTATTACACTGAAATGGAAAGACCAGAGATTTCCTTCACTGCACAGCAGCTGCGAGTGGACAACAAGGTCAGCAACACCTGTAGTCTAATTAGTAACGTTCAAATAACCACCGATGTTCAAGGATGAAAACCGGTCAGGTGACAGGAGTGTGACGAATCATAAGCTCAACTAGGAGGTAAACATGGGGGTCTCAGTTTCTGACACTACGATGCAGCGCTGCAGTTTTAAAACTAAACCAGGGTTGTCAGTGTTTCCAAGTCGTTGCTTTAGGGGTCTTAAAATGTGAACGTAGCACAAGTTATGCATTTTAAATTAAAAAAGTATATTAGTATGGACGTAGCCTCAGTTAATAGCTGCAGACACAGATTGTCTTTAGAGGAGATTACATTTTTAGTTTGATTTAGAATAGTCGTACTTGCTATTTTTAACATTTTGCATTAAATGCTGCCTGAGGAAGTGTGCAAAGTTGAAAATCAGCAGTCCAGAGAAGCTTCCATTCGCAGCCTTTTTACATACATGGTGAAGACAAATGCCGCTAATGTTGGAGAAATAAAAGGCTTTCTGAACTAATAAAGTTCAAGGTTCATGTAAGTCAAGGGTGAAACCACAGTGAAATCCAGCTTCGAACTGATGGAGAAATGAATATAAACTTGGTTCTTCTTATGGGATTTCTGCCTGAAAGTGAGTCTCAGAGGATCTGTCGCTGATTCAGGCGTATGTTTCCAGTCTGTTGCGGCAGTCGTCTAGTATCTACACAGAGAGGACATCCGGGCCTGGGTTCTTCAAGCCAGAAGCATAAACTGGAGGAGAACACTGCAGGATCTGTACAAGATTACAAGTTCATTATGTAATCCAATTCAGCTGCCTTAAAACAAACACTGCTTTTTTTTCTCAATGTGTTTCGCTACTCTACAGTAGTTTCTGGGCTTGTAGTGTTCTGTGTAACTGAGTGCTCACTTGCCCTTTAGGCGGGACACTGAACTCGTGCTGAATTACAGGATCTGTGTTGCCAAGAATGTATCGCAAAGGAGAAACTCAGGAGATGACGATGAGAGAATTGTTAAGTGGTTATTCAGTGTTTATGCATGTATACGCACATGATGGGCGTTAGGGTTCTTTGCTGGAACAGGGAGTAGTTTCCACGGTGCTGTAACAGTCACTTGGTGCTGTGTGAATCCATGGAGACCTCCTCCTCGTGGTGAGTCTTGTAGCTGCCGTTGTGCTGAGCGCAGGGCGACGCCGTCATGTCCTCGCTCGGTGTGATCGAGTCTTCTCTGTCGCTTTCATACTCTTCCTTTTCTTCTCTGTCATAGTCCACCTCCACCTGAAATACCAACAAACAATAATTCCCTTATGGTTGAAAGTTTTTAATGCCTGGAAATACATCAGGATATTATTCACAACTGATGCTGATATACAGACAAACACTGAACTCCTACAGCATCCTACATGGTAGACTCATATTTTAATGCCCTGTGACCTCTGTTTGTAATTCATTTCTATAAAGCCTGGCCCACTGCAGAGCATTTCTCCTGCAGAGTGCTGATGCCACCAAACAGCACTCGGTTCAACACTGGTTTATGTAAATTTGCAGCATTAAGCTCCACAATTAAATGTGTCGAAGCAGTAACCACAGATGAGTCGTGCTCTTCTATGTTAGCTGCTGTCTGTTTACATAACCATTCCCTGTTTCAGTACAGTTCACTTCGTAGTCAGGGAGGCTTGAGACAACGTGTAAACTGTTGATGTTTATAACCTGCTATGGTGTTATTCTGAATTACTGTGTGTAAAACACAGCTAAAGTTTCAATGACAATATGTGAGTCAACTCGAGGACTTCTCCGCCAATTATTTCAATCATCTATCTTCCGAAAATCAGTACTGAAACTATCTTTCAATCTAGTTAATCAGTAACCACCTCGATGTCTAATCATCTGTACGGGGCTGATCTGAGGTGCATGCTGCGTCATGTCGTGTACATCCATCAGTTGTCAGTTATTTCAATGACACACAGAAAAGAAGCTTTGTTCTTCATCATTTAGAGACATTGTTGGGTTGATGCTCCATCTGCTGAACGCTGCTCTGCAAATGTTCTTCCTGCTGAGACTCTGGATGGAAGTCTGTGAGTCTAATAAGCCAAGTGCTGAACCATATGCAAGTTAGTCTGTACGGATGTAGCGCTGTGTGCACATATGTGCAGAGTTTAGAGGCATGCTAAGACCGGCCTATGCCAAAAACATGGACTGCACTGCACTTACATAGTGCTGATCCAAAACGCGCTTTACAGTGCTTCTCATTCTCCCTTTCACACACACCGATGTCAGCAAAGCTGCCATGCAAACTGCTCGCCTGCCATCGAAATCAACCTCAGTGTCTTGCCCAAGGACACGTCGGCATGCGGAGGAGCTGCACATTCAACTGCCAACCCTGCAATTAGTAGACAACCAGCTCTACCTCCTGAGTCACAGTCTTATGTCTGGGGAAGATATCTTCATTCACATAAATGAAAACACAAGCACACATGCAAAGAATTTGAGAGATATCTTTTGTTGAAAACAGGACCAGATTTCAGATTCAGAGAATTCCTGAATTCAGACATCTCAAGTTCAGGTAGTCAGTGTTCATGGAAGTTGCTTGAAACAGGTAGAGAACCTGGTTAACTAACGAGGGAGGAATGCTTGACTACAACGACAGCATTCAGTCATGTCTTGGTTAACATTCTTGTTCAGAACACTGGCCATAGGGAGGGAAGGCAGAGAAGTTCATTATGCAGCATCGGGATGTTTCTATCAAAGTTTTGAGACATTTTTAACAGCTGCAGGTCTGCAGTAAGTAAATACAAATGAAGCTCACAGGGAGAAGTTTGCTTTTAGAACGTGTTTTGCTGGCAGTATCACTTGAGAAAGCTGTGAATAAAGTGACAGAATTGACGGAAATCTTCAGCGTAACTACAACAAACAGAATTTTGCAAGATGCGAGCGGTTTTTGAGGAGAACATTTGCTCAGCTGTCGTTTGTCTAACAAATGTTCCGATTGTTATCAACAGTAAAGATGAAGCGGGACAAGTCTAAAATGTGTCACCTTTTATCTCTCAGCTATCATTTGGGGAGATCTCTGTAGTACTCGTTCAGAAGTAGGGCATTTGTGGTTGGACATTCACGTTGGGGAGGAGTGGAAACATTCAGCAAAGAAACAAGGTTACTTCGGGGAAATGTGTTGAGGGCATTTAGTAGACACATAGCTATTGCCTCTTTAATGCTTTTCTTCACAAATTTGATCAATTTTTAAGTATTTTTCTTCCAAACCATTATTATTTGTGACTGAAGCGTGAGATTTGTCACCTTCGTTGGCTTGGCTTTGCTCTTCATCCTGTCCTCGTCTTTGCGGCTCCTCTTCCTCGATGTGGACCGTTCCTTTCTGTCCCTGCTGCCCGCCCTCCTCTTCTCCCTCTTACCTCTGGAAGAAGTCGATAAAAACTAAACCACTGATATTTGCCATGCACACATATCCACTGACAGACACAGGACTTTGGTGGGATAGGATGTGATAGATTTACCTTTTTGGTGAAGGTGACCTGGCTTTCCTTCGAGGGCTCCTGGACCGATCTTTACTCCTCCTTTTGTGGCCTCTGAAAACAAACACATTAACCTGATTAAGTGCGTTCGCTGAAACAACAAGAGCCAAAATCCTGAGCTATGTTACAGGTAACAGCCTGCTGTTTTAAAAAGTTTATAAAATAGGATCAGTTTATCATTTTTCTCCACAATACTGACCCCTACTGCCAAAGACAAGAACAACAAGATGCTATTACAGTTCACAGGGCTCCAGACTGCGACCAAAACAATCCTTTTTTTTAAGGGTGTGCAAGTTAAAATTTCAGGCGGTCACATTGGTGCGAGTGCATAACGGTCATTAACCTGTATTAGTGTCGCTGTAACTGGCACAGGAAGCTACTGTGTTAACCACAGTGGTAGAAAATAGTACTTTTATTTAACTTTGGTGTCCTGCTGTATTTAAGCTTAAAAATGGGGTTTTCTCGTGAAAAACGGAGCCCACCTGCATTAGCTGTTTTTCCCGCTCATAGAAAAGGGCGCATGTTAAAAACATCACTCTGTTTCATTTTGGACAAATCTGACATTAGAACTCCCTCGTTTACTCTTTATTTTTAGGCGCACATCGGTCTGAGCACTGCAGACACCAGCAACATCTCCCACAGCCTGCTATGTGGGGTGTTTAAGAAACATCAGTAAATTGTAGTGTCTATCAATAAGAAAACATTCAGCAAGTCCTATGTTTTGCCTGTGACAAGGTGGGAGGTGCAACCAAATGAGAAAGTTAGTCTGGAGCCCTGGTTTATCAGCCACCTGCTGTATTAAAAGGAATGTTATCTTTAAAACAAACAAACCCAAAACCAAAAAAACCCAAAACTATTTATCACAGCCAGAAACTGTAAAACAAAACAAAAAAAAAAAAAACTGAAAGATTTATTTGATATTCAGCTTTCTAGCAGTCCAGAATTGCACATCATGACATGTCAAATCTAAAATTAACTAATGAACCATTTGCACCAGAAAAAAAAAAAAAAACTGTCACGAAAATTCAGGAACTTTTGAGCTCAACTGCAGGCTGTGTTTACACAGAGCAGACAGGAAGAAGGAAGGAAACATTAAAAATCTAAGTAGTAAAATATCTATAGTATGTAGAGTCACTATCAGTAACATGATTGAAATTTGTAGAAAATAACAAAACAAAAATGTTTTTTGGGATTTTTATTATGATTGATGTCATTTTAACTGTGTCACACTGCACACAAGATATTTTAGAGTTTTCTCTCCTTTTGGCCATAGTTGTGCTGTTTCCACAGAGGTGCAGGACTTTATAACACAATGAAAAATGAACCCACAGTGAGAAAAATGTGACAAAATTTGCCATAAGAAACTGCTTCAGTGGGTTAAAATATGGTTGGTCTTTTCCTGAATTCTGTTGATCTCTTAGATGCAAAATATAGAAACAACTGCAGCTGCTAATGTCTACTAGTGTCTGTCACAGTAACACAACAGGAGCAGCCTTCAAATGAACCCTTGAAATGTCGTGGGCCATCAATGATAGACCTTCTCCATCTTCTACATATAGTCTTTGGTCCGTCATACCTCGAGCGACTCCGGCTGCGTCTCCTGTCTCTGGAGCGAGAGCGCCTCCTGTGAGTGCCTCGGGAACCGTGGGAGTCAGTCGCCGGCCACGACCTCTGAGACGCTCTGTTCCAACAAGACGGAGAAGCTGTTACTGTCTGAACACCATCACCATCACAACATCAAAAACATGAACTCCAGAGGATGAGTGGGGCACCTGTGTTTCGAACGAGATCTTTTCCTCCTTGTTCTCGAGTGTGATCGTGAGCGTGACCTCCGCGATCTCCTCGACCGACTGGATGAGCGCTTCTTCGTTTCTGTCGGAGCACGAGCAGTCTCAGTGTTAAAATGCAGCACAACTTCAGGTGTGTCACAGAAACCTTCCTACATGCAGCAAGTCAACCTGTTGTACCTGGTTCTATGGCAGCAGCGATGGTAGACTGGGCTTCCCTCACCCTCTTCATCACACTTTCTAGCTCTTTCGCAGCAGCCTGCGGTGTCAGCTCTGGTGGTTTTACTATGGCATTATTGGAATGATTAACCCTGAAAGACAGTAAACAATCCATCGATTCACACAAAGCACCCAACAGTATTATGTTCTCTTTACTTATTCAGGACTAGTATGAGTAAAAAATGAACTTTTAAGAACAAGCACGTACTTTAGGGGCCTGTCTCCAAACATGACTCCGTTGAAGGTCAGGGCTCTGGCCACGGACTCCTGCTCAACAAACTCTACGAAGGCGAAACGTGTTGGCTGGGTCTCATCTCCAGCCATACGCACAAACTTTACATCTCCCACCTGTTTAAAGAACTCCAACAGCTGCTCTGCAGTGGTGGTCTGTGGAAGAAAGATCAACTAAATCAGAAGAGAGCTAAAAGTCCTGAGGTCCAAAACCACAACGGGGCTGTTCAAATGAAAGATGTCAAACACAATAAATATTTGTTTCATGATTACACTGGCGAAGAAAACCGTGCATCACCTGTATCAATCAATATATACCATTTGTGTGCATTATGGCTGTTCATAACAATACAGTAACTGAAATAACTACCAACACCAGTTTTCTGTTGTGCAAAAACAGAAGGTCACAAGGAAAATATTAAATTTTCCGATGATTAGTCTGTAATCTCCTTCCTAGTGTATTTACTATTTAATCCTTTACAACCATATAAAGTTTGCCAAGAGTGATGCTGGAATCACAGCCGCCGTCGATGCCTACGTGTTGGAAAGATGTATAATGGACACACTATAGCCTACAGCAGACAAGAGAAAACACCTAAGAGAAAACTGAATTCAGTGTTTGTTAAGTATGTTCAGGACCTGCAGATACACGGTTTATTTCAGTGACTGACAGGGCATGGTGTACTCCTCTGCACTTGAAGGTGTCATTAATCTTCTTTTACGGTCACACAGAGCTTAAGAACAAATAGTTCCCCACACGCATTACTAGGTGTGTAATTTGGTTGCATCTGTCCTCAATAATTACAGTCAGCTAGACAGACGAGTGGAACAAGGAAGCCGGCACGATCTAATGAATGAAGGAAATGCTTGTTGGAAAAATGATGACGATGGTTGCTACAGAAAACACAGGGCGGGTCTACATATTCAATCACATGAAAAAAGACCAAAACCAACAATGAACTGATCTTACTAGGGGTGTGCATCTCTATCTTAAGAGGCGATCCGATATGAATCTAGATACATGGGTTACGATACGATTCACTAACGGTACATTTTAATACGTTACGATTCGATGCGATGCAGCTTGAATCGATTTGTGTGGTGAAAGAAATTAAAGAGAAATTTATCAGGTCAGAACAATGTCATTGTTTGTTTTTCAAATACACACAGACAAGACAGACTGTTGCTGTATTAAACATGAGAGAATATTCACATTGACCTCTTCAGTATATTGCAATCCATAAACGTTGCAAGCTGCAAACATTTAACGTGGCCTCAATTTGTTCTGATGCATTTTATCAAACCAAACTAATGTTCTGCTCTGTGTGTGTTTCAGTGAACAAACCCAAGTTAAGCTTCAAGTTCTGCACTGGATCTCTGACACTGAATGCACAGACTAACACACAACACAACACAACACAACACAACACAACACGCTTGTATGTTGTGGGTTTTGCTTGGTCAGACAATAATATGTTTTGTGTGTTGTTATTAAACAGGCAGCATGTGTCTGTGTTAAGTTGTGACTATCAGCAGTTGATCTGGGCGTGTTTCCTGAATAACCATCAGGTGGTTAACAGCTGGCAGAATGGAAAAGATCAATAGGAATGAAGATGATCCTAGTCGAGCTGATCAATAGCACAATACGCAGAACATCAGACTCATATTTTCACCACTGGTCTACATGGTTTCAAATCCTCTCAACGAACTTGACAAATATGTTTTTTATTTTGGCCAGCCATTTGGTTTTGCTGTCTGTAGATGATACTGACATGTATAGAGACTTCATTAATGTTTGCGTTTTTTGGCGAATTCTTCTTCATGTATTATCTTTATCTTCACACACAGGCAGGTCTGGTCGAGACGAACATGTGGACGGAACATCTGGAGCCTAAATACAGCAAGCATCGCTAGTTAACGTGGAACACCGGTGCTGTTGGCCATGCTGTTGTGTTGCTGTTGCTAGCAAACACGTTAAGTGAACGTTAATTTCATCACAGCAGAAGTCTTGCGAAACTGGAGCAGCCATATTTAGCAGCAGAGCTCCAATCAACCGACTCATAACTTTACAACCAGACATTGACCACTCCACCGCAGATACAGATCAATCCAGACGTCCGCAAATCGATGTATTTATATCGTGAAAGTTAAAATTGATTTCCCGTTCGTATCTGTGAATCTTTACACCCCAAGATCTTACAAGTAGGCAGTTTGTCGATTTAAAGGCTGACAGCTCCTTCCTCTGTGCCACAGAGTTTCACATTATCCAAAAATTATTAAAAATGATGCTTTTAGGGTCGGTTGGTTGTGAGTGTAAAAGGTCTGAAAACGTTCAAAAGTCAAAGCTTATGTGTTTTTGAACACTGAAGCACGCAACCATATTCTAGACGACCCTAAAAGTGTAATATGACCCCTTTCAAAGCACATGAATGAGCAACGTTGTGAGCATAATCACTGGAATTCATTTTGAGTCGATCCCACGTAAGCAGTTCTGCTGTGTAAATATCGACTGGAGCATCAAACCCAGGGCATAAAACAGTCCCTACTATATAGACTATTTACTTCTATTTGAGTAACGCACGCTTAAAAACAACAACGATCAACAGTTTGAATACAACTTGTTACAGCCCTCAGTGCTGAATTTGTATGTAGGTAGATTGTGAGGTTATTTTTTTTTCCTCTTTTCAGGTGACGCCCTGAAAAGCAGCAGGAGTGGCCAAGTCCATCTGTGGCCACTCTGCTGTCAGCGGGCCTGACCAGCAGCTGGTGAGCTGTGTGGTGTCGGTGCCTTTGTCTTGCCTTAGCCAGGCGTGTGTGGTGCGCATCAACCTTTGGATCGGCTTCATCACTGTTATTAAGAAGCTTGCTTTAAATTAATCTGTTATTGCTTTAATTGCAAATATTTTTTTTGTTACCGAGTCAGTTTCCTCTGAGGGAGGGTTGGAAATCAGTCTGGTATTGGTAGAGAGGGACCAAAAAATTAATCTTCAGCCTCATCTTTCAGCTTAGACTTTTTTGTAAAATAGAACATTCAGACTATATGGCATATATAAAACTAAAGCACGAGAGAGATTTCAAATCTTTGTACTTAATGCAGTGTTGCTGTGAATACTAAGTATGTATTCTGGAAGACGAAACAGCAGATCGCTTCCCTCATCCTTACCAGCACGTCAATCAGGCTAGGTATATGATCAGACATTATGTTACCTGTGAGTTCAAGTTGCCGACATAAACCGTCCTCCTGATCTCATCGATTTTTGAGGGATCCACATTTCCGATGAGGGGGGGCTGGGAGGATGCTGTCGAGTCGAGAGCAGCTGGCATCCGATTCACTAAGGGAAGGTTCAGCTGCAGGTGTAAAACACACACAGACACACACACACACACACAAGGGGTGTTTAACTTGCATGACTTTAGGAGAAGACAAGAGAAGGACCAGATGCTGACTCACATTCTGCAGTGGAGCTGGAGTAGGTATTGGCAGCAATCCCCCGCCAGGAATCAGACTGGGTACCGGGGCAGCAGGTGCCAAAAGTGACAAAGCCTTGGCCTCTTCTGGGATTTTCCCTGCAGGACAACAGCAGATATTAGCGAAGGCAATAGAAGGACTCTTCCCTCTGTCTCCTCTATGTCTGCACAATTAGCCCACTGTATTCTAGAGAGAAAGAGAGCATACACTTCCCCATACAGCCTACAAGTGTTCTACTGTCTACTCATGGTATACTGGAGACCGAGCATCCTTACTTTGCTTGTTATTAAATTCTCAGTCAATCAGAATTATTATTTTCAATCAAGTGCAAATTTTTTTTTAAACTTAAGTCACAAACAAAAGAACAGTGATTTTTTTTTTTTTGTCCTTGGTCTCTTTTCATAGATCAAAAAAAAAGAAGAAGAAGAAGAAAAAAAAAAACACAATGCAGAGAATGAGTCAACACTTTGATGTATGGGTCACCTGTACTGGAAACATATTGGTCATGAACCATACGATATCAAGCATGGGCGCTTTTCCGTGGGGCGATCGTTTCGCAGTGTTGGAAAGGTGTGCAACACAAGACAACCCCAATGGCTGCATCACTAATAGCACACAGAACATCAGATACAGAAAAGAACAACAATTTTAAGAACTGTAGGAAAGGTTAGCCAAAAACTTAGCTATTTATAAAAAAAAAACAACGAATTAGGAATTTTGCTCATTCCACTCTGGATTCTAATCTGCTTCTTTGCTGGAGAAGAAGTTAACACTTATAAAAGACACAAAACAGCTACAAATCCATTTCATTACAGCTGTAGGGACTGTGCATGTATTACAGTTGTTTAACACGACAGGTTTCCTTCTAGTGCTAGGAAATATATTTCAAAACACAGCATTCACGACGCAAATGGATGTCACCAAGAGAAAATGATGCTAATCTGTGTCATTACTAAATACAAAACATCCATATCAGAGGCGTAGTGTAGTAATGTGAGGGAAATGATGCCTTCTACTACAGACTTGAGTACAGATCAGAAGAGCAAACATAAGTCTAAAGATTTTATGTTCAAATGAGATAAAGGTTTCATTACTGGGTCTCACTTTTTCGCAAAGACTAGCCCCTCACTACGGTGTGGGAGACAAGAGAGTAAAAGTGTTAGTGATCCTCCTAACATCCCATGTGTGATACACATCCCACCGGTATGCCGTAGCAACCTGGACAGAATTCAATCACACACAAGCTGCAGCTGTAGCAGAAAGAGAGAGGGGGGAGGGGGTTGGACAATAATCAAAACAACAAACCAAAATAACAAATATAAACACAACGCTAGAGATAAGCAATACTGCAGTTTCTTTTTTTCTTTTTTTTTCTAGATAGAGACAGTAGAGAGTGGACAACATGGGAAAGTATGAAAGGAAACAAACCAAAAGAAAAGAAAAATAAATAAAAGAGACAAGGTGTCCATCTTGGAAGGTTCAGCGGGCTATTCTCCTGGTCACATTCCCCCCTTGAAGGCTGCGTTGGCCCGATCGGGGATAGTGGCTTGGAAAACAATGCCTGACTCAGGCTAGTGTAGTGTAACAGCTGGGCCAGTCTAGTCATCTGATATGCACACATAATCACACAGAAAAAACATACAAAACCAAATTAATAAACTCAGTAGCCATCCAGCACCAAGTCACGTGGACAAAAAAGCATCAAGTTAGAGGTGATATCATTTTGACTGTACAGAGGCACTAAAGGGGAGGGGGTTTTAAAGAAAAGGAGCACCAAAAATGAAAGAGAGAAAGTAGGGAGGATAGGGGGGGCATGGACATATTGAGTAATTTCCAAACAGTAATGAAAAACCTACTAGTTCCAGTGTTTACAGTGAGGTGAGCCTACATAATGCAGCTTCTAAAACATTCATGTTATCAGTAGAAACCACCTTGTGACACCAAACAGAAACCTGGACTGGGTGCTTTGGGATTTTTTTTTTTATCTATCTAGGGTTGCAGTGAGGCGATACAACCCATCACCTGTAGCAAATACTAGTGACAGGAAAAAAAAATGGCTGAGATCAGAACTAACCAGTGGCACAACTTGCCAATTTTTCCATGTGAATGAGAGAGGAAAAAAACAAAAACAACAACAACCCAGAATTCAACCCAAAAAAATACCAAACGACTGAATTCAAAAGGAGCAGGCCATACATAGCAAAACTGAGACATGTCATTGTTATTTGTTTGAACGAAACGGGCTGCACTCACCTTCCGCACATGGCACTACTATCAGAGCTCTGTCAATAAAAACAGTATTGGTGAGATGTTGCGCCACACCAACACTGGAAGGCTCTCGGTACTTTATGTAACACACTTTGGACGAGAAAGACAGAGGAGCATTGCTGCGGAAGAGGGAAAAAAGGCAGAGAAAAAAAAGCAGGTTAGTTATTTATTACGCCATTTAGTCATGTTGGTAATAGGCCGCACATCCGCGGTTTTGCCTAGTGAGTCATGCCGCGACAGGTTTCTCTTACTCGGGCGGGTAGAGCCGCAGCTCCTCGATGTCTCCCAGGAAACCGAACAGAGTGCGCATCTGCTCGCTGCTCACGGCCGAGGACAGGTTGGTGACCTGGACGACGGCGGTCCCCGGTATCCCGCTCATTGTGCACATTAGTGAGTACGACGACAATCTCTGAGTGTGGTATTTGTACAGTATTTATTTTTCGGTGACCCTACTCGGTGCAGTACTCATGGCGGCCGAGCGAGGAGCTTCACGGTCTTCCTCTCGCTTCATGACAGGCTTTCACTGTTGGGGTGGAGGTGCACTACCGCCCCCTGCCGCATCACACTGTGCATTACAAACACCCCGGACCAAACCACAGCTCACAGGAAAAGAAGGAAGAAATATAGAAAAATAAGGAAAAAAAGAGAAAAACAGACATTAAGGAGATTATTGTACATAATTACTCAAAAAGTATAAATATTAAGCTTAGGTATCGTTTATTATAATATTATTTATTGCTTACCAGAGTCATTTAAAAATTAAGCTTAAGATGCTACAATATATTATCCAAATTTGCCAAACAAGTTTAAATATTAGGATTGAGATTCAACAACATTTTTTATGATACAAATTTATGCTACAGGTTCGAATAGATAGATAAGATAGAACTTTATTGATCCCTTTGGTTGGGTACCTCAGGGAAATTGTTGAAATAGTGTGTTTAAGGTTAAGACTATACAATAATATTTATTAGACAAAATCACCAAAGTAATTTAAATGTTATGGTAAGACCATACTATGAGCAAAAAATAAATGTATATTTGATTCATTTTTATTTGAATTTGTATTACTAAGTTTGAACAATTGAAATAAAATTAGAATTTCTCAAACTTAATGGTGACAAAAGTTTGAGTATGAATCACATTATTTGAATTTTTACTGACTAAATTAAAACTGTATTCTAATATTCTTAAAGCCGAATGTATTATTTGGAAATTTATTTCACTTGCTCTGAATTTGAGTTTGATCCTCACTGAAAATTAAACTTCTTACATTCAGTTTTTACAGTCAAAATTCAGTTTCCTGAAATTCAGAAATTTCCAATTCTAACTCAGGATTCAAATAAAATTTTTGATTATAATTATTCAAGCTGAGCAATCCAAATTCAAATATAAATGATTCCAACTCAGTTTTTGGGGGCACAAATTTCTGTCCATACCCTGCATATTTACTTATACACATTTACCTGACTGCTTCATATATTAGGATTACAAACCTACAACATATTATTTTATACACATTCACCTGAATTATTTAAATATTAAGATTATAACTCAACAATAATATCCATCCATCATCTATACACCACTTAATCACACAGCTGGAGTCTATCCCAGGTGACTCAGGGTGAAGGCAGAACCAAGCACACTCACATTCACACCTACAGACAATTTAGAATCACCAGTTAATGTCAACATGTTTTTGGACTGTGGGAGGAAGCTGGAGACCCTGGTCAGAACCAACAATAATATATCCATCCATCCATTATCTATACACTGCTTAATCCTCACTAGGGTCGCGGGGGGGCTGGAGTCTATCCCAGCCGACACCCTGGACAGGTCACAATAATATATAAAATACAAATTTGCCTGACTAATTTAAATGTTTGGGCTAATACCTTATCATATACAGAAACTCAACAAATTCAAAGAGTGCGGAGAGAAGGAACTCCCTCTCATCAGGAAGAAACCTCGAGCAGAACCAGACTCAGGGAGAGCTGCCATCTTCCTCGACACAGACCTGCTGAAAGTTACATCATCGCGTCTGTAAAAAGAAACAAAACTACTGAAAAGGAGTGACATGTTGGCCTGAGGGTGGCATCAGAGGTGAGGATATGTCATTACAAAAATAGAATAAAGACAGAAGGATCAGTGTTAAACAGCATTAGTTTATTTTCCACAGGTTACTTCAGAAACAGGTAATTATGTACAAAATCTGGAATGTTGGATAAATGCATATCAATCATCATCTCACTGTGACTGTTTCCAGAGAAACCTTAGAAATACTAGCTATACATTAAAATGGGTGCCTCTGCATTGCAATTTATTGCTGGTTTTACAATCGCAAGTCACTAATGCCATTATTAACTCTTTTCTCAAACTTTTTGGAGTATTTACAGTTTGATTAGTAAGGTCTAAAATTTCACAGAAGACTGCTAAATAAATAAGAACAATATGGGAGCTTAAGAAACAAACCAACGTGGATGAAGAAAGTGTGAAACCATGTTTTATCTCCCTAGATTGTCTACAATGTCCGACTTTTTTTTTCTTTTTTTTGTTTTTTTTTTTCAATTTGCCATGAATATAAAGTGACCATTACCCCAGAAATCATTTCCCCTAAATCTTAAAAGTTAACAAAAAAATCACCAACAAAATTAAAACAAATACAATCAACAATTTCATCTGTGTAAAATACAATATGCTGTGTGAAAAATTTGGGAAATGCACATTATTATGTTGTCATTTGCCTGTAAATAAAACATTAGAATGAGTTTAAAAACTAATGGTACAGCTTGATTTAGAACAGCTACCTTTAAACAGTACAACTATTATCATTATTTATTATTATTATTAATATTATTATTATTAAAGGGATAAAAATTTAGTCAATTTCCACAGTGTTATCATTTTGGTTTGCCAGTGCCACGAGCATAAAATACAGATCCAACTCGTTACATACAAGAAGAGTACAGCAGACGACACAATCTACTGTCAACAAGTCGAGGGAATGCTATTTGTTAAAACACTGTAGGATTAAAACGCTATCATATATTGTACAAACAATTCAGTGGTCACAAATATAATGCTGGAAATTAGGGGGCCGTTACTTAGCGCGTGAGTTTTATCATTTCCGCTTCTTCTGGAAACACGTCTCACTGAATAATTAATCACTGTACCATTGAATGAATATTAACAGGCTGAGGAGTTAAAATTTGATGACACCACCTTAAAAAAAAACAGTTTTCCTTCTGACACAGTTCTTTGATGAACAGTTCAAATGTTTTGAGATGCAGCTTTGACTAGTTTTTTTTTTCTCAACAGTGGATTATTTCGCACATGTGAACATCAGGAGATACTGTATTCTACACAACAGACAGTAAAAAGTCTCAGGCAAAGTGACAAACTTTTACACAATGCAGAGATATCTTTTTTTTGTTTTTAGCACTACCGTGTATATTTCCTGTGCTGTTTCGTTACAAAACAAAAAAAAAAAAAAGAGAGAGAGACTCTTTTCACAATATAAAAATCATGTAAAATCATCAGGGATTACTAAAAGGTTTGTGTTTTGCTTCAAAAAAAATGATATTTTGTGAATCAAAATAAAGGCTTTGAATATTGCTTTGAAGCCATTATGCTGCAAATGTACTCAGAAGGTTGTGAATATGTGAGTATTGCTTGGATTCTGGGGTCAAAGGTCCTCCCCTGTTCAAACAGTTCAAGGTCTATGGCACTTGACAACTTGCTTCTCCCAACTTTGTTCTCTGTACAGCAAAGAAACAAACAAAAAAAAGGATTGCTCCAAAGTGATGAGTACAAAGCATGATAAAACATTTTCATAGACATAAAAGGCAACCTGTGGTCTTCTCCCATGTGTGTAAAACAAAACAAAAAAAAAACTGCCACAAGAAGAAGCCCTTGAAAATAAAAACACGAGTGAAACATCAACCTTATCCCAGCATCCTTCTCAAGGTGTCTCCTGCTTTTACTTTCTATTCACAATTACTGAACTTGCTTTGGTTAACTAGCATAACCTCCACGTCAATCTCTGTTTACAATAGCTGTGACATTTTGGGAAAAACGCATATCTGATAGCTTAGTTTAGCCCAAAGTCTGACACCGGGAGGACACAGCTCGTCTCCCTCCAGCTCCAGCCCTTCGATTAAACTCTGCCTTAAAGCAAATATGTACATTTCCCAAAATATTTACTTTAGACTTGAAACAAAAAAAAAGTGTAAAAACTGGCAAAACAGAATTAAGGCCGAGCAAACCCACACTACATTTCATATTCCCCCAAAATGTGATTTTCCACTCCGTTTTCCTGTCTCCTTATGTGACCACATGCAGAGCGCATTTCTTCCAAGAGACTGTGATCCATTTGTATTGCAAAAGGTGCGCACGGGCGTGGTTACGTGATATGTCGACATCGAGGATGACCTAAAGACAGGACAGTTTGTAAGCTGGAGGATGTTGGCAGGTTTGTGGAAGCAGGGGCGGACGACTTCGTCTTCTTCTTCTCGACTCTTTCATCTTGCCGGAGGAGAGGAGGGGGAAAAAAAAATCCTCTCCGTTAAACAAAATCCAAACGCTTCCATGATCTACTTTCGTCTCCACATGACAAGCACGTAACACAGTCCTCCAGATAAGATCGCACGGCTGACTGAAAAACCCTTTTCAAGTCCAAGAAAAAAACAAAAAAAGAAAAGAAAGGCAAACTGGATGACAGACAGGGACCCCTGTCCTCTAGTGGTCAGATTCATGTCCATCTGCGCAAATTAAACCTAATTCATGATTGATGAGTTGATGGAGTTTTGGAGTTAAAAAAAAAAAAAAAAGGATGATCTGTACAGAGACCACAGTAAGTTATTTGCATCAAAGCACGTCATATCTTCAGCTTCTTTTGTATAAAAATATATATATACCACAGTGATGGCCTTTTGAGGACACGTACTTGTAGATGTTTGCTGCTGTCTCACTTCGATCCACTACATTCAGTGGTTTTCCCCGTTTAATCAAGGCTATGAAGACCTCTGCAGATCTCTTACTATAAATAGTCCCAACAGGTATGAACAGATCAGTCTCTCTGTGTATAAAAATATGACAGTCAACATAAATTTCTCTGTTTGTCTCTCATGTGCCCCTCCACCCCCGCTTGGAGGTCGGTTTCAGTTGAGTCTATGCTTGCATTTCTCTTATGATAGTCATATCCACAGTGTTTGGAAACGTCTTCAGGAGGGACACTGCATTCCCATGATCAATATTCACAAAGCTGTATCCGTTTGCCTGTGAAAAAAAGACAGATTAACATACTGAAATAACCGGGAGGCTTTTAACCAATCACGCATCACTTCAACTTGTTCAGACAGCACAATACCTGGATAATTTTATCCCCAGGCTGAAGGATCTTGGATGCTGGTCCTTCAGGTTGAACCCTTGTCACAAATATACCCTGAAATAACAAGATATGAAAGATAGAATTACTCACACAGAATTCACAAAGTGATGTATTCTTAATGCAGCGCAGAGGACAAACAGAAAAGATCAACAGTGTGACTTTACATTGTCATCAGGACGAAACGGGTTTCCCCGGCCTCCCACTCCTCCTGATATACTGAAACCCAGCTCTGGATTCTTCTCCACTTTCACACGGATCTGAAACACACCCACATACTTTCATTAGCTATTTTTTCACAGACATTCACGGTTAATTACACAATTTTACTGAATTAGGAGGAAAACCACAGCAGGAAGTTACAGGGTATTTATGGAACCGCCGGTCTGGCGACTAACGAGTGTTTAAAGAAGAACAACATCAGATTCTTACCTCCAAAGACTCAAAATCCTAAAACTCCCTGAAAGGAATAGTCTCATTTCAGAGTTAAATGAGAGGTTTTACTAAGTGTAGGCTCATTTTTTACTAATTTATAAAGTCCTGCACCTCTATGGAAACAGAACAATAATGGCTATAAGTAGATAGAACTCAGAAATGTCTTTCGTGCAGTAAGAAACAGCTATGATGTAAAAGATCACCAAAAATTTGAAAGATTCATTTGTTTGATTTGTTTTACAAAAAGGGTTGAACATGAAGCTGTTGCCAGCAGAGGATTAGCTTAGTTTAGCATAACGACTAAAACCAAGAGGAAATGTGAGCCTGGCTGTGTTCTCAGTTCGTAACATCCACCTTCCAGCACCTCGAAAGCTCACGAACTAAAACCTCAACAACAAACTGAAGCTGTACAGCCGGTTATGGGCTGGGCCCTCAGCTTCTTCAGCTCAGAGTGCACCAGGTTCAGACTTGCATCCTTGGGAGTTTGGACTAGTTGAACTTGGAGCAGCAGCGCAAGTTGAATATAAACTGGGTGGTGTCAATAAATTCACCCAGCTGGTCTCATCGCTCTGAAAGAGCTGAGACAACCACAGTGATGCATGACAGCTCAACTAATGGGAAGAGGCTCCTCCAGGATGTTGTATCACTGTCTGAATGTTGCAGAGCAGCACAAACTGGACACACAACACTTCAAATCTCAGCATTTCTACAAGTAATTCAATACAAACACTGCCGTTCACCTCCTGCTGCAGAGTGTCGTGTGGAATACGTGGAGGCCCCGGGGGCTGCTGGGAGACTTTGAGCATCAGGTAATCAATGAGCTGCTCTCTGGACGGGTGACGGGCCATGGATGCCTGGCTCATCTGAGGACGAACTGAGGGGCCCATCTGACCGTTCATCAAAGGCACCTCGAAACAAACACACAATGATGGATAGACGTTTTGATTATTTTGAACTTAATACACCTGTGAAACTAACCACCATCTTTAAAGAAGTAATCAGATTCAGCAGGATTTTCTCTACTTAAAAACACAATATGCTACATCATGGTGACTGCAGTTGGTGTGCATTAAACCTACTTTTCTGTGGGGGTCCACTGTGTAGCTTTGTGGCCCTTGGGGAGCAAAAACATCATCCTGAAAGGAAAGGCGGTGATGATTACTAACACTGCAGTCAAACCTCGCTAAACTAAAACCCATGTACAACCAGGAATAACAGACAAGACAGACCATCAAAAGGCTGACATGAACACATTTCATGTCTGCTGATGACATAAAGCAGTGAGATGTTGATTTAGTATAGAGAAAAGGGATAAACATCTGATTAGGATCATGAAAAACTGAGATTAAACTGTGCTTTGGTTCTATTCAGGCTCTAAGTAGCATGTAATTTTGAATATTAGCCTCCTGGAGATACAGGAGATTTAAAATGTTAAGCAGGGAAGGGGTTACACAACACTCTCAGACAGCTTTAGCTTTATTATTCCACATTCTAAAACACAGTTTCTAAATCATTTAGACACACACTTAGACCACTTACCTTTGACAAACATCCCCACACACAAAGTGAGAGGTTAGGAAGTGATTCTGAAGTGATCAAACGTCAGAGTGAAGATGATGAATGAGCAAAATAAGGATTTAAAGTATAGTGAAAGGAGAAGAAAATTATGGTTTCTGAGATGCATCGCAATCACAGGATGATTTAAGTGGGGTAAGGTGGGAAGATAACATACAGGGGATATTGATTATGATGTTAAAGAGTCTGGCAGGTTTAAAAGGGGTTGTTTTGCTCCATTTGTTAACACTTATATTGCTGAAAAGCTCATGAACAAGTCAAGTTATGTTTTCCTTTCAGAGAAAGTGAGTAAAAACAAGCCAGTGGCCTCACAGTTCAGGGTGACGCCGTTGTTGTCAGATGGATTCTAAGTGAACAGATTTTCTGTCATTAGAAATAAACGTCCACAGCACAAAAAAAAAAAAGAAAAAAAAAGTTTTGCACATGCGGCCTCCAATTTTTGTGAGAAAATAGTTGCAGGACATTTTTAAGAATTTCAAAATCAGTTTAATCCTCTGAATCCTAAAACCCACTGATGGGTTTGAAAGGCATGTTATCTTTACAAAACCGCCACAATTACACTATTTATCAGAAAGAATGATCGGATTTTGAACATTTCATGATCCTGAACCAGTCATCTGTGACATGCTGCTCAGATGAGTAAACTTAACCAATCTAATGTTTAGATGGTGATATTCATCGACTGCATGTCAAACTAAAATAAAACACACAAAAAAGCTCCTACTTGATTCTGCAAAAAAAAAAAAAAAAACTAATTTACCATTCGTGAATCAGCTGCTACCAATAGTCACATGACAAAATTCAAGGACTTTTCAGTTGAATTGGGTTGAACTGCAGGCTGTGTTTATTTACACAGAGCAGATACGTATCAAAGCAACAGATTAAAAATGTAAAGAGTAAAATATCTAGTGTATGAAGAATCACTGCTTTCTGAAGTATTGGCAACTCTCTAGAAAAAGCGTTGTACATGTTCGTTCCAGTTTGTTGTTTTCCTCTACTTGTAGCCACGGTTGTGCTGTTTCCATACAGATATAGGACTTTATATTGCAGTGAAAAATGAGCTCACACCCTGAAAATGCTTGAGGTTCAGAGGGTTAAGTGCCAATCAACATTTTGTCATATTACATAAACCAATTTGATGACAGTACATAAAAGGAGACCCCTTTTAAAGAGCTGTACATCAATTACATTATTCAGCGCTACAAAAACTAGAATCCATCCATTTTTCTGACAAAGCACAAGACAGGGTTTGTGGTCGTGACAAATCCGATGTTGAGAAACGTTACACTTTCATTTGTCTACAAAAGGACAAGTGAAAGATGGTTTCTGATGGTCTGTGCTCACTTCTCAACATCGAGGAGAGAAGGAAACAGACACTTCCTTATCTTCAAAAGGATGTGAAACTAGCAGGAACTGGAGGCCCTGGCTTGGTATAAGCTGCAGGAGCTAGCTACAAGTTCACAGTACTCACACAGAAGCCCAGAGCTCCGTAGGGCTGTCCCTCCCTGGCACTAAAGACCAGGGACCCTTGGCTGGCATGCATATCCCTACAGCTGCCGTAGTGAGACCAGCTCAGCGGAGCGGTATTGGAATTATAGGAGCGAGACAGCGCATTCTGACGACATGGAACAACCAGCACCAACGGACATGTCAGAGGTGGCCATGCAATCCACCAAATGAGTGATGACATAAAAAGACACAACAGAAAGGTTTACAGCATATACAGGCAAACATGCAGTGAATCAGAGATACTTTGCTTAAAGCTGGGTTAGTAGGCTGTGGTATACTGAAAGTGTCGCTTCACTCGAATATCCTCAGTGGACAGTTTTGGTTTTATTTGCACAGGTCTTGAGATAACCCCACTGTGGGGATGGATTCTAATGGCCATTCCCATTTTAAATCCCCTTTCAAGTTGTTAAAATATCAGGATTTCTCAAGATCTGCCATCAAATCTCTTAGCAAATTTTTCCTCTGAGAACATCTCTTTCCCTTGTTCCTGACACTACAAGTATCTGCAGAAACTGAGATTGTATTCAGAAGCAACAACAGAAACAGACTCCCATTAATCGGACTAATTCAGTGACAACCGTGACACCATCCACACTATTAAGTTTTTGTCCTAAAAGGAAAACAATCTCTATCTAGACAAGAGTTCAGAAATAATTTTCATTCATGCAAACTAACAAGCGTGAAAATGCATCTCACATGACCCTTTGTGTACACTGGGCATGCGGGCATCAAAGTGAAAATGAAGCAAAGCTGCATAGTTGTACAAAAAACTAAGAAGCAGAACAGCATTGGCAACCTGAGATTCACAATAGCTGCTAGTATGGAAAATGAGGTCAGCAATGCCTGCAGCCTAATGTGTTGTCTATTACTATTTTTTTTGCTTTCTTCTGAAAAAACGGTTCTGTGACAGAAACATGATGAATCAGGGAAGAGCACATAATCACAATTAAAACGAAACCAGGAAGCAAACATGAGTGTCTGCGCCCTAGTTCCCAAAAGTACTACTTTTTCCCCCTGACCAAACTAAAACGTAACCTCGGAGTTTTCAACTTAAAACACGTCAGCAACATTTCAGAAGTCACTGTTTTAGGGATTCCCCAGAGCAGTGTGGATGGTCAGCGTCAAAGTAGCAGAAGTTCTTTATATTGGTGTGGATGTAGCCGGAAACTATTTCTTTGCTAGACAATATTAAAACTGTTCACACTGAGGCCTGCTGATTATTCAGACTGACTAACTAAAATGTTCCTGAAAGATGCATCGCTGTTGAATGTTTCTTGTGTATTTCTTCACTGCTGTGAGCACCACAAACTAAATTACTTTAACCTTTGTGGTTGGTGGCTGGCGGCAGAAATTCCACAGAAAGATATCTCAAAACCAGGACAAAGAAAACCAAAGACATGTACACAGCTCGATATCAGCGGTAATATGAGTGAACTAACCTTTACAGTTTCTAAACAAAAGCTTTATTTGCTCCGTCATCTGCCATATTTTAACAACTGAGGAAGGTAACCCAACTCTGTAGCAGGTTTATGAAATGAAATTCCACTTTTTTGTTGAGCTGGCTTGTAAGGATGAACATTCTTAAACTGTATGTCCCATGAATCAAAGGAACAAAAACATTGGTTAAACTCAAATTGAACCCTAAAACATTAATAATGAATAATGAGAGGACAAAAATCAGACGCAGACAATGAAACATTTTTCTGACGGGCAGTACATTTCATCATAGTAGTACTAGAAAGGTCACTAAAGTTTACCTTTTCCATTTTCTTGGCCTCGATGTGTCGCATCACCTGGTCTCTCCAGTCTGCTGGCACCCTTCCTGCTCCCACTCCTCCCGGCACCTGTCCTGGCCCGTCCAGGAGCGAGTGCTCAGACTTCACTCTGGTGTTGGGCCTCTTGCTGGGGCTGCTGTGCTGGTAGTTGAAGTCACTGACAGACATGGTCCTTTCTGGAAGCTCATGGGGCTGCGGCCTGCCACTAATTGGCCTGGAGGTTCCAGGCACGTCAATGCTGTAAGTGCGAGCGGAGAGGGGCCTCTGCATGGCTTGGCTCATTGCCAGCGGCCCTCTGGCGAGGGTGTGAATGTCCCTGTACGTCATGTATTCCCCGTCGGGCACCTGTATGCGCCTTGGGTCGCCCATGGAAGCAGTGGAGGCGGTGCTGCTTTGCCTCTGCAGAGTGCTGCTTCGAGGCTGGCTACCAGTAGTATGAAGTCTCTCCTTCGCCCACATGTCCCCTGAAGGCTTGGAAGCCATGGGAGGCCCCCTCTGCTGAGACTGCAGAGGGTAGGGAGGCGCTTGATTACGGTTTGAGTAATTGGTGTTGGCTAGTGAGTGTGGAGGAGGAGGGAGGTAGCCTTGGTGCTCTGGAGGCATGGTCGTCCTCTGGGCCCAGAGGCCGTCTTTAGGCATGGCACTGCTCGTGTATTGTACATTGTACTGAGGAGGAGGGATTCCCATGGCCATGCTGGAGGAGACTGGATATCTGCTGGTGCTGGCAGGTGGCTTAGAAGAAGAGAGCAGGTCTGAGGAAGATGCAGAGGAGCTGGGGTAGACCATGAGAGTCTGGTCATTGAGCAGTTGACTGGCTGACTTGCTCCTGACGATGCTCTGGCCCTGAGATCCTGGCCCCGGACCAGCGCCTACCATTCTAGTCATTGTTGCTGCGTCGTAGGAGTCATCATCCCCATCGAAGGAGTACAGCTTCATACCCCCCGTTTCTATGTTGCTGATGCTGTGAGACTTCATCACCTGTGGGGGATGGCACCTTTTCTCTGGAGACAGTTCCTCTGTGCTGCGAGACAGAGACATGTCACTGCTGGCTGTCACGCCTGTCGAGGCCACATGCACAGCAGATGTCTCTACCCTCATCGCCTGGCTTTTGTTTCCCAGACTGTTGATGCAGTCACTGGCCTGTTGGTTTCCGTTCTGTAAATGATCCATGTTGTCATTGCCGTAACCCTGCTTGCCGTCCAAGTCCTCCTGGGCAACCGAACCATTCTTGGTTTTGTCCAACCCGTCCAGCTGAACCATGTTGTCGGTCGGCAGCTTCGTCACGTTCATGTTGATCTGGTCCCACTTGGTGTAGGTGTCTCCCATGCCGTTGTTTATTCCCTTTTCAATGAAGGCCAGTCTGGCTTCCATGGAAAGGTCATAGTCTCCCAGCTTTTCTGGCGGTGTCTGCTGAGTTTTCAAGAGGGCCTGAAGGGACGTTTCAGAGCCGTTACCATTATGGAGGAGAGGGGTGGTGTCTTTAGGCTGGTTCATATTCTCATCTTCTTGCCTGAAACAAGAACAAGTAAAGCCAGAAGAGAAACACATCAGCTTTTGCAGCAACAGCAGGAGGAAGACTCTCCTGTTTACTGTACATTAAACATGTCACAAGACTGTACTAACCGGGTTTTTGGCAGGAAAGGCATCTTTGCCTCTCTCTCGGGTGTGCACAGAGAATTATCCTGACTGCTGTCTGTGGTCAGAGACACGGAGTCAGACATGCGTGATGGTGACGAACAGTTACTGTTGTTCTGGTTGCTGTTGGCCACTGTGTCATCCAGCAAAGAGTCTGCGTCTTTCCCATCATCTGTTAGGCAGAAAAAACACCGTCAGTGTTCTGTATGCAGACGTTTCAGTTTCGTTTTCCACTTAAGATCCCTTTTTGTAATAATGTTACCTTTTTTGTCCTTACTTAAAGTCACTACTTTAGGTTGGTTGATGGAAATCTCAATAAGAGGGGGTCTCATCTCAGCAATTTTCATTTCCTCTTCTTCATCTGATAACTCCTCAGAATCCTGAAGACAAAGACATTACTTTTCTTAATGCTGCTTTTTTCATTTAACCATCAGCATGTACTTGCTGTAGTTCTTGTTTGTTACACTGTGAGAACTCATAAAAATTTAGGGTGCTGCATGTTTGAACTACCTCTAGTGTGTCCTCGTGGTTCATCATAGAGCCCTCGGAAGATTTGAGAGGGATTTTCTGGGAGCTGTAGGACTCGGAAGTGTCCTTTGATTCAGTTGCAGAGGGATTTTGGACATAAGTATTGGTAGATACTTGGGGCTCCATGTCTGATGCCACACCGTTGGGACAGGGGGCCTCGATCACCTACACAAACAAGTGCTCAGTTAGGCATTAAATACGGTCTTTTACATGCATGTACACTGTGTAGTTTGTTATAGGGGAACTAGCGCGAGGTTAACAAAATGACACAAGAAATGAGAGAGGCTGATATATTTCCAAGTAAGAGATTTCCTTGAGCTGACGCTGACCTTAACTCCCACGTCCTGCACTCCAATGTGGTTTCTCTCAATTGGTTTTGCATCTTTCCCCGATTCGTCACTCGACTCATCCTCCTTCAGCCTGTGAGCCACTGACTGGGCTGTCTTTACCATGTTCTTCAGCTCGTCTGGGTATGGCGTTGGGTACCGCTTCAGGTTTCCCTCCTGGAATAGTACAAAAACACACACAAGATTAAATTCCTCAATAAATCGAATAACAGAAAGTGCATGTGTGATGTGGGATTCTCACAGTGTCCTATTAAGAATCACCAAATTTAAGCAAGAGAGGGATTGTGGTGGGTTTTGTAAATGTGTCATCACCGTCACTGTCTTGCTTGAAGAGAATATTTCTAAAATTTGACTCTCTACTTAGCAGGCAGTCGACTTGACGCCAGAACAGCAGAGATGTGATCACACAGTCGATTCTACAGTTTTCCTTCAGCATTCTGAAACACTCGCAGGCAATAATGCACGTGCAATGTCCTAATTCCCTGTAAGTGTTTTTGCACTGAGGGTGCAAATTGCAGAAATCCATCAGGTGTAACAAGGTTTCTGCTCACAGCCATCTATCAGCTGAGACTACAATTTCTCCACTACTTTCAATTACAAAAGTTGCAGAAAATGGTAGCTGAGGGACCTTGTACAAGACAAAGTAAAGATTTGTTGCCAAGAAACACTTGTAATTACAACAATGGCCTTGCGGTTGTGCTAAATCATGTCACTGCCGTTGTTTTTCCCTTTCCCAATTATACGAACAGTAACAAATGTGTGCTACTAACCCTCGGGGGTGTTTCTCTCTCATCTTTGTCCTCGTCACACTCAAAGGCCACCTGAGCTCGGTGCTTGCGTTGTTCCTCCCAGAGAGCTGGATTGAAGCTCTCAGAGTCAGAGTTGGGAATGTCTGAAAAAAACAAGAACAAAACAAAAGAAGCCAGGGAGCGGATTATTTATTTGTTTTTTAATGCTCTGTAAGTTATCTCCACTGTGGTTAGTTCACACATGTCTGACTTTGACCACAAGGTGGCGCAAAGACAACATGAGGCATGCCAAGAAACTGAAAGAGCTGTGGAGGAACTTCAAAAATCAAGAGTTAACCCCTTAAACTCTCCCCCAAAAAAAACACCAATATTAAATAGCTGATACTTGGAATTGCTGCTGCAATAAATTCTTTTCCTATGATAGCATCTTAACAAACTAGCAGAATGTCAAAACACTGTACTCTGTGTTTCAGTTTGATTCTACAGCTCATGTCAAAGTCTGACAACAAAAGCAGCTCAATTTTTAAATACAGGAGGGCAAGTTTGTTGCTCTGAACACATTTAGTATTGAACACAGTATCACTGTTGTGGTGACGCTCCTGTATGACTCCTGCGTGTTGTCAAGAGGGACAAATGATCATGATTGCTATAAAAAGGGTGTCATGGCAGTGCTGGATGTTGTGACGCTGCTTTCCTGAAACTCAGCATTAGCATCTTGTACTGGCCTTCTGCTTTTTGTTGCATCCGTCTGTCAATATCAGAAAAAATAGTACCAAACTGGAGACTCTAGATATGCACACAACGATAATTTAAAGCTGTCATTTACACTTTGAGGTGTGAATCAGTCAGTGTGGTTTCCTGTGTTAAAAAGCTCTTCGCTCTCGATTTGGCGACACATATGTAGATTCTTGATGTATGCAGACTGCTAGCTACTGTGGTGCTACATTCTGACAAGGAAATCCTTTGGTTGATTCTTAGTCAACATCAGCTGAGGGCAGATCATGATAAGAACTCTGGTTCAACTTAACACACAATCCCAGAGCGTGAATGCACAGTGGATAATATGAGTCACCTGGTGTGTACTCTCCATATCAACAAGTTGTAAAGCATAATAACTGCAGTCGGGTCATGACTAGTTTCAGCTTCCCAGGAAACAGACAAAGCTGTTCAGGAAAAAGTCCCAGTAGATACAGTAAATATGGATAATGGTATAAAGCAGGTAATTAGCATGTGGCAAATACAGGACAGAACCTTGGTAGACAAATTGCTAATATTGTTTTAAAATAAATAAACAAACATTTTTCAAAAAATCAAGCTGTGGACTCACAACCAGCACGTATATGTTAAACCACTAATTACTCTGAAGCTCAGATGCAACAGGGTCAGTGCAAGCTGTCTGGTGTAATAGGAAACCAAACCAAACAAACAGATGCTTGACAAGAAGACGTCGACTAGTGTTACTTCTGCGGCCTCAGTCTTAGGTAACACTATCTGTTATAAAAGATGCATTTAGGGATCCTTGTAGGTCACCTATAAGCTTGTGACAATAAAGATGGTGGGTGGAGTCCTGTGACCTCAAAATACATTGAATATACCGGAAAACTGGGGTTTTATTTTTTATAAAATGTGTTATTTAAACAAATAAGACTGTATGTGTTATGGAGTGTTTGATTAGTGATGCGGTTCGATGATCTGCCAGATAAAGAGCAGAAAACAAAAGAGAAACTGAGAAAGGCGTGGGGTGCACAGTACTCACAGTCCTCTGTCCTGGTTTGCTGAGGGAACATGTAGTTGGTCAGCACGGTTTTGTGAGTCTCTGGGTCCTCCTCTTTCTGGAGCGGGATCAGGGGCTTCGACTGTGGGAGACAGAAAGTAGGTTTGAGTGTGCTATCTGAAATCAACAGCTCTTTGTCAAACACTCAATGCTCGCAGAATGTCCCGGAGTTCTCGGTTTCTTGCTTTAGCAAGACAGCTACACAGAACCAAAATATAAATGCAGCCTGCAAATTGGGCTTTTTTTTCTAACTTAGAGAAAAAACTAAAAATCTAATGCCTATTGCCATGGTTAGAAAAGAGTTAAATCCAGCCAACTGTGCACATAAAGTTTTGGAGCTATTGAACTGGTGACACCTCAGTCAATCCATAGTCTTGTCAGGTGTGGCTTTAAAGGACCGTGATCAGATAGTGTGACAGCTACAACAGACACTCCTTTGACCAGTGACTATGAAAGGTCACCTCAAAATGCAGCTTTGTTGAAATAGCACAAAGCCACAGATGACAAGAGAAAGATGAGAACTGATTGCTGGATGTCAGTTAGGGCCACAGCCAGGCACCTGAATGTCCACGACTCCACCAAGAAATCGTTTCAGACAGCACAGTAGACGGACAATCTGCCACATGACTGCAGACCATGTGTCACTGCCTGAACCGTCACACCCGACTTACCCATCTACAGAAGTGCCTGTGATTGGCTACAGAGACTTCTGGTGAAGCTGTTGGCGCACAAAACCTGAAGTATATCTGCTCAAGCTGTGACTGATTTGCGATCTAGCCGCCCACACCAAGGTCTTACACAGCTAAACAGTGTTGTAATCAGTTCCAGTGGAGGACTGCTCACGTTTGTTGGACACCAGCAAAATGACGGACGGTCCGTTTCACTGATCGATCTTGTTTTCAGTTTTACAGAGCACACGGCAGATGTCATGTTTGGCATCGTACAGAGAAAGGCTCCACAGATGTCACTGTCAAAAGAAGTGGCCCACGGAAGCAGAGGAGTGATGGTAGGGGCAGCGATACGCCATGAAAACAGGACATGTCTGCATTTCATTTATGGCAATCTCAATGCCAAACCATATCGAGATGTCATCATTTCACCCTCCCAGTCATTTGCTGCCATCACTTAACATTTCAACGAGACGATGTGCGTCCTCGTGTTGCCAAAATATGTCTTTCTATTGCATTTTAAAATGTTCCAGTCCTGCCAAAGCCTGCATACTCTCCACACGTCACCCATCGAAAATCTGTGGGATGATCTGGATGGACGAGTTTGACAACACGACCCTGTCCCCGAAAATGTCCGCCAAATTTTCCAAAGCCCTTCAGGAAGTGTGGGACAACACTCCACAAGCAGCATCAACAACCTCATTAACTCTATGTGTCGCAGTTATGCAACTTGTGATTTCTTCTCTATGACCTCACTCTTCTTTCTCTTCTTTCTATTTCTAATATAGACGTACTTGTGTCATCCACTCTGTCGCAGAGATGCTCTGTGTGGAAATGACACATACTTATTTCCCCTTTGCTCATAAGAACGGAGATAATTTAATAAAATATTGTGTTTCATTTTTGTTCAGTGTAAATCGTGCTGCATCATCAGTACATGAAAAGGCTTCAATCTGCAGAAAAAAACAGAACCGTGGGGGGAAAATAACACGTCATAAGATGAATTCAGTTTGTCCTCCCCAAATGCTGCGCAGATATTTCAAGCTGAGTTTCTCTGCTTCTAATCTGCTTCGATCACTCGAGGACATCTGGGTGCCTCTTCCTGTCATCCATTTCTTGATGGAGCTGCCTTTAAGTCGATCAATCTCCCCCAGGCCCCGTCACCACTGTTGCACCTGTCCAACTATATTCATGTGTCTTGGTGCTGACGTGCCTGCTGGACTGTCTGTCTGTCCGGTGTTCTGTTAAGAACTCACAAATCTCAGAAGGAGAGTGATTGAGGTGCGCCTTGTAAATGACAGAAAACTTCTCATCCCTTTTTAGTAGGCAGCGATTTGAGGCCAGGACGGCAGAGAGACGGGGGCTCTACGGCTGACTCTACACTTTCTCTGCAGCATTCTGAAACAGCTGCAGTTTCCCAGCGACAATTTGTCAAGGCATTTGAACAGAGCCTTGGAATAGTCCAGCCAGGAGGAGAAAAACGCATGAATAATTGATTTTAGAGTGCGGTAAGAGTCAGACAGTAATTTGGAAATATTTATAAGTTGGACAAAGCAAACACACTGAATCAGTACAGCTCTGCCCAGACTTCTCCAACCTTACTTTGCCTTTGCATACTGAGACCCTTCTGCTGGGCTTGATACGAGTAGTTCAAGTATTTCTTTACGACACAAAGCCACACTGCCATGACTAAGTGGGATTCCAAGCCACTTACTCACACGTGAGCTACCCAGTCTGAAATGTTTCCCCCTCTGAAAGATCGTCTTCTGTCAAGTCTCAAGGAAGAAGTCCAAATTCCAAGCACCACAACTTGATTGGTAACCTCAATCTATGATTTACCTCGGGTGAACTGTCACTGGCTTATCTCACAACCCGAATACTTGTCATTTAGATTTACACATATTACTGTTCAAGGTTGTCGACAGACTTGTCTGGATTACCGCTCTGTCACCCTAAACATGCATTAAGGTAAGGATAACCTCTTCTGACATAAGGATCCTCCTACATTTTAAAGACAGAGAGTTTAGGATATCACCCGGTCTGACCTGCTCTGCTATTTGGCACTTTAGATCAAATGTCCTGGAAGCGGCTTAGTGCATTTTATATGTGTTTTCCTGTGAGCTACTTAATTTACAGCTGAATTTTTACTGCGAGTCACGTACGCTGCTGCCATTACAGTCCCCATCTGACAGCTCTGAACCCAGAAGCGCCTTCAGTGACAGTCTCCTACTTCACACACAATACCTACCTGATTTTCAGACAGCCACATCGCAGTCATCTCGTTCAGTTTAGTGAAACTGTAGGGGAGATTCTTCAACCTGCAGGGGAGCAAAAACAACACAGGTGCTCAGTCATCGTGCACCAAAAACCTAAAATAATCCCAATGCATATCAGATTTATTGTGTAAGGTGAATTTGATCTACGAGGGCAGACTATAAAGTCAGTCTGCAGCCAAATTTAACAGCGCTGTGGGTTTGTGGCCAAAATTATTTAGTGTATTTGGCACAGAGCTGACACTAGGAATGGAAAACATTATTAAAACCTCAATCAGGCTTTCGCTTCCAAACCAACCTATTTTCATTCTGGCCAGAATTAAGATCCTTTGATCACAATACCATAATTAGCAGGTTAGATTTCAGACTGCATGTGTGCTCTTTTAAGAATTAAACCAAGAAATGTGTTGTGTTTTTTGTGTTGTCATTGATTTAGGTTATCCATAGTGAAGCATTTACTGCGAAGAAACTTTTACAGAAACTAGGGCAGATTACTTTTCATGTTATCAACTGATCTGCTGATTATATTCTTGATTAATGAATGACTGTTAAAGCAATAAAATGTAGCAATAAAACTTTAATCCTCATACTGACACCATTAAGTTGATTTCTTTTGTCTGAGCAAACTACAAAATCCCAAAATGACTCAATTTATAATCAAACAAAACAGAAAAAAACAGCCAATCCTCCAAGATGAGAATTTGAAGAAAATTGGATCCAATTTTACTTTTAGACACCAATAATCAAAAATAAACAGAATTCACTGGATTAATAAACTGCATGACTGAAATTACTTTCATCCTTTAACATCACCGTTATTATGCATGAGCATCGTCAGCCCAGACTCACTTGTTATTGCTGAGATTGATGACTTTTAGCCTCTGCATGTCACCCATTTCTTCAGGCAAAGACTCCAGCTTGTTGGAATGTAGAAACAGCACAGTTGCATTCTTCCAGTTGCCCATCTATCAGGGGAACAAACCAGGGCCTCAGTCATGAGCCAACAATGCTAGCTGTTGTAGATGAGCAGACAGACAAATATTTATATACCAATGTGCACACTCACCTCAGGAGGAAGCTGGGTCAGGAAGTTGTGATCTGCAGCAAAGGTGCGAATGCTGGTACACTGGCCAACGGAGGAGGGCAAGGCTTCAATCTCATTGAAACTGCAGTCCAGCTCATCTATTGATGTCAGCCTAAAACAGAGAGACGAAGGAGGATTTCAAACATGTCGTTTAAGTATAAACGGTCTGAACCCCAAATTACAAAAGAGGTCATCACAATCAGAAACTGTTAAAAGAAGAAAGAATTGTCTGATTTTCAACAATGCACTTAACAAAATCCAAATTTAAAATTGGAATATTTCATCAAAATCACTGTATTCCAAGTCAACTTAACAAAACAAAACAAAAAAAAGTCACCAAATATTTACAGTTTTCCCTACTTTTCGGCTACAGTGCACAGAAGTCATTCCTGGTTTTCTCTACTTCCAGCCATGGTTGTGCTGTTTCTTTAGAGTTGCAAGACTTTATTTGCACTGAAAAATAACTCCAGTAAAGTCCAGACACTGCTTGGCATTCAGAGTATTAATATACTGTACAATATATAAACAAATATATGTTTAAACTTATGGAAGGTTAGACAACTGAAACAAGTCTTTTCTCAGGCCACATCAAAAAAACTCACAGCAAACAAATGAATGAAGGCCCAAAAAACTAAACACATGGCAGCAGTTCGAGGTCTTTGCATTGTGTAACATGTCAAACAAGATCCACTTATCATGCAGCCCTATTTTGGTAAAGCTATACAGTGCATTGCATTCAAAACTTGTGCATATTGAAACTAGGCATGTGCATATGATGAAAATGGCAATTACAAAAAAATTCCCAACAATAAAGAACTTTGCTCTGCTATTGCACTGAACAATATCTGCAGACTGAAAACTATCCTTTGCAATGAGCCTTTCTGCTCCATGTGCACAAATACGATCCTGGGAACACGGCTTTGACAAGCGTGAGCTTAACCGTCCCTACAACTGCTCAACACTTGCATGGTATTCAAGTTGACTTCTGAGACTTTGGCGGTATGGAGAGTGGGTGATGTCTTGGCTCATTTGAGGGTTGAGTGAGTACTCGTGACAGTCCAGTACTCACGGGACCACATTTGTGCATACGGAGCAGAAATTCTCCCTCATCAAGATGGTTTTCTACGTGCAGATACTGTTCTGTGTGTTCGTATAAGGTGCATGTGTCACGTTTTCTATGTGCACAGGTTTTGAGACTAACTTAACACCATAACAGAGACAGATCTTATAAATATTCAAACATTTTCAACAAGAACTGAAAACACATTTGGCCCAGAGAGGGTGACAGTACACTACAGTAACAGTAAAACACTTGAATACATTTACTATGACATTGATGCACCGCAAAAGCTTCATGGGACATGATTTAAATATAGACACACTTCAAACCAAACCTCCGTTGCCACAGAAGTGCAATGCGACCAGGGATTTCTGCTAGATGGAAAATACAAATGAACTCTGGGGATTCATGTGAATGAAAAGGGAGTTCGACCCGCAGGAGAGCTACTGTGTTGCAGAACCACCAAACTCAGAAACACTGGATTTGACCTGTCCTTGGCAAATACAAACCAGAGGAAAAGAACACAGTGCACCAGCAATGCACTGAATAAAATCAGCTACGTATAAATGAAAAAAAATCAGCTTGCTTAAGCTAAAATCCTTGCATGGGATTAAGCTAAACCATAGGCTTTGTAACATAATCTGTGTCAAAGTACACAAGGAGACACATACTAACATAAGGGATGATTGATAGTGTTTGGAAACAATAAATAAAAAAACAAAACTGTACAGCTGCAGTAGTATTTGTCGGTTGATGTAGATTTGTCTCTCTCACGCATGTTGGACTAAACTGTTTTATTTTAAATCACAGATGGATTAAACAGAGAGTAATCTTTGTGCTGGACCACAATGATTCAGAGTAGCTGGAGGGTCAGCATGTGGACCTGTCTTGCTCAGCAGCTGTCGACTGCTGGGTTTACCTGCCTGCTGCAGACCGCTGGAGAAAGGATATGGCTGATTTAATCTATCAGTATTGTATCTGAGGGTCATCTGGCCACAGATTACCAGCAACCCCTCCAGAATTATGCAAACCTCTATAAATCAGTGAGGCAGACTCATAACCATGATCTTCAATTATTGTCATTCAGTCTTCATAATCATGGCCTATACCAAGTTACCCAACATCATCAGCATTAGAGCAAAACAAATAAAGCGTAGGAACACATTATGTTTAATAGGAATATCTGATTCATCCAGACAGACGTTTTATGAGATCAGCGGTCGGCAGATAAAAACAGCACAATAATCCACTGATCTCAAGGTTTATTCCACCAGTACTAAAGCTACTGATGTAACACTCACCCTCCAATGGAGTCTGGCAAGTACATCAGCTGGTTTTCATCCACTTTCAGTGCAGTCAGTTTCTTCAGGGAGCCTGAACAAAGAGAAAAAGCAGAAAATAGAAAGATCACTTTAGAGAGAAGCATACAACAGCTCAGAGCAGTTATTGATTATCACTTGCTGTTGCACCACAAACAGGAATATCCATTACAGCGGCTAATTACATTCAATCATACTGTCATCGATAATAATAGGTTTAGTAGTAATCAACTCTGATATTGACCAACGGGTGCATTTGGTCTCAACTGATATTATTAGTCTGGTTTTAACTTGTAAAAACACTGTTTGGTCAAAGGGACTAAATAATCCTTCAAATCACATGGATTTTTAGGACATTGTTTTTGTCAGCTTGGTCAGATGCAAATGTAATCCAAGTTTCATTTACTCATTCCCAATTTCCATTTGTCCATGAAGACAAATGAAACTAAAAGGGGAAGGAAAAAAAGAAAGAAGAAGAAGCAGCAGCAGTTAGGAGACACATTCATTTTTCCTTGTGTTTTATAACCATACCTGTGACATAACTGAGCATCAGACGCTACTATACTGTGGACTACTTAAGACTGTACTGTGAGTGGCAAAACATCCAACTGCTTCTTAGTCAGTGAGGATTTTTTATTTATTTATTTTTTTTAAAGAAAGATTTTAAAAGATGTTGCACCTTCAGTGTTATGAAAATGTATTTTAGCTACACGGGAATTAGATCACCACAACACGAAGGCAGGAACGAACCCAGAAATTAAAAATAAATTGGCAGCAGCTAAAAGAAAGTTGAGGTGTTTCATAACGGATTCTGTTAAATTAAGACGTGTCTGTGTATGAGCTGTAATCTTCACCGATAGAGCCAGGAAGCTGTGTGAGGGCGTTGTTGGACAGCAGCAGGTCCTGCAAACTCTCACAGCCACAGATTTGTTCATCCACCATCTCCAAGTTGTTCTTTGACACATCCAAATATACCAGTTGCTTTAGCATCCCCAGCATCTGAACAGGTAAAAGGAGACACAACAAAATGACACTCAGATATCCCATCAGCCATGCTCACATTTAGTTGCATGAACAAACAGACAGCGGGTTAACACAATCCCAGAAACATCCTAAGCAGGCAGGTAAAATAAAATCTTTAGGGTCTGCAGATGCATCCTTGACATGGTATTATCCCGAAGTAGGTCACATCATTGCATTTTTTTACAACTGAAAAAACACGTTTTACATGAAGAAAAACAGTTGCAGTAACTAGTTTGGTTTATGTGCTTGATGAACGTCATTGCTTATAAAAGGCCAGACTGTGATTACAGCTGATGCTGTTGAAATGCTGGCAGCTGAACTAATGCTTTAATTATGACCCAGTTACAAACAAGCTGGTCATTTGGATGAAAAAGAATCTCATGTAACAAATTCTGACCATAAACACATCATTATAAATTAATTATGTTTAACGAAAATAATTGCTTCACAGCTGCAGATTTTTTTCTCGTTACTATTGGGACATCTGCAAACCCAAAAGTCTGTTTTTCTTTTCTGATGAATTTTTTTTAGGCTAACTGTCTTCATCCAGCTAGAGAATCATTTCCAAACTGCAGTAACGTCTCTGCTGGTTTTTCGAGAGCTAAAAGTCTGATCTAAACTGACTGGAGTTCACTCTGATGAAGATTTAAGTGGACACATAGTGTGAAAAATCAAGAGAAATAATCTCAAGATGGTGTTTTAGGGCACAGCAATCACTGAACGAGTACATATAAGAATGACTGTAAATTATACCCCAGGTAAAAATGTCAGTCTGTTCCCGTCCATCCACAGTTCCTTGATTCCAGTCAGCTGCTCCAACACCTCAGGCTGCAGATGTAGAGAGGAGAAAGAAGGTTAAGTGATAGAAATATGTACAGTATGTGAGAGTGTTTGTGTGTGTGTGTGTGTGTGCCTGCTGGGCAGAGATAAGATCGAGAGGTTAACACATAAAGATAAAATTAATTATCAGGCAATTCACTTATTCCACTGAGATGATCTGGTAACTGACACACAGAGATGAGTAATAAGGGCTTTAGATCAAAGGTTGATGTTGATGATTTTTTTTCTATGAAAATTAGGCCCTTCCTGCTTTATACTGACTTATATCGATAAGTCTATACCAATGCCTCCCTTAGAATATATGGATCTACAAAGTCCCTGCCTCTCTATCGCTGCAGCTTGAACACACCAGCTCACCTTTAACTCTGCTCAAACACTGTAAAGCTACTCCATGCTACATAATGGCATATTTCAGCCATACATGTTCGAACTGGAAACTGATTCTGACACAGGAAGCCCCACGCTACATGGTAGCAGGATAGGTTACGAGGTTTGTTATGTGTGAAATCCTGGAAGTCTGAATCCACGTTTTCGAGACTCATCAGTACACTGCAGTTTCAAGGCATAAATGCTCAGCCACTGTGTTTACTGCTTATTTCATTCATGATATGCCTTCCAGCATAAAGCAAAACACCATACGGACATGCTAACAAGGTGAAAAACTAGATTGTCACCAGAGGAGGTCTTTAATGAATGTTTTCATGTACTGGTGAAAACAAATGACTTTCTGTATGAGCGCTTAAAAACAACAGGGCTTTCTTTCCAAACATGAAGGACACGGAGAGGGAACAAATTAAAGAAGGAGGCGGTGGGGTCGACATAACAGAGGTAGAGCCCTGGGCACTGACAGACATACTGACAGATACTCACCACTTCAGTGAACTCATTACTCCCCAGGTCCAACCTCTCCAGCTGTGTGAGCTTCTGCATGCTTCTGTAGACACACAAGGATACAAAAAAAAAAAAAACATAAAAAATCAGTACAGGTTTTAACAACTGGGAAAGCGTGTGCTGGAATTTGAAAATCAATTGAAAAAGCACTGAACTGCTCCCCTGTGATTTGTGGACCATGCGCTTCAAAAAGCAAGCCAAAAGCAACTTCTTTTTCCCCCCTTTGTTAAGATTATCAGTCAATTTTCATGTTATATTTTAAATAGCACACATGCTCTGGCTTTGCTCCTTTCACTGAATAATTTTATGTGGAAATAAATACCATTTAGAACTCAGGCGTGACAGAAATATGCTTTAAATAATGGAAAATGTGACGTATGCTAGCCCTAAGCCTTGCTCCAGAATTTCCTCTCCACATTCAGGTCACAGGCGCGCATTCTCTGCTACACTGTAAACAAGCGGATAAAAACCAGGACTATTCAACGGCTTCCATCGCAGTTTTGACTACATTTAAGTGAGCAGTAATAGAATCAATAATAGAAAAAAATGCAGCTGTAATATATATATATATATGTTTTGTTTTTGTTTTTTTTTAATCAAAATCTGATTATACAACATCTTTCAGGGCATTAAACCCCCAACGACAAAATGTTGAGATCACAAAACCTACAGTTTCCTTCTTCTGAATCAACTTCATTTGCACAAAACAAAGTCAATCTCAAAAAGTGGGAGAAAGACCTACAGGAGTAAAACACAATACACGGCGCACTTGATCTTTTCTCGCCTCGGTTTGAAATGCATCCCTCTGAGCTGCTCAGAAAATTCCCTGGAGTCAAGTGTTTAAGCTGTGCTAGTCTAGCAAGATAAAGAATTGCGATAAACAAATCAACTCTGAGCTAGTTAAATGCGGATTTTGTTTCAAAGTAGTGAAGTTAAATAAAATGATTCCACATTATAACCGAAGCAAGAGACCATGAAAGGAGATGAAATGGAGATGCACTATGGACTGTTTGGGAACACATATGACGACTCTCTCACAGCAGGAACGAACTGTGTTTCCCTAAAACATGAGTGCAGGGATGGAAAGCTGAGGCCCACCGACCACTGTGTTTTGGTTTTCAGGTGCCTCTCGTAAAATAAGAATGTCAGACATACGGCACGAATAATAAATATGATTTAGGTCCTTCTGTGATTTAGTGCAATATGAAAACATTCATTACGTCTGTAAAACTGAGCATTAGCCAGTTTTGTCACACTGTTACATAAAAGTTGGCACCAACACCAGAGACCCCCATGTGAGCTGAAAGGGGTAAGACTGAGCTGTGCTGGCTCATCTAGAAAGTAAATTCACCAGTGCTAGGAAAAAGAAAAAAAAAAAAAACCTGTCTGAGGCTTATGACCCCAAGTTGTGAGGAACACAGCAGCCGTCTTTAAAACACAGAGAAACATTTGGTTTATGCATGTGCTCGGTGTGTGAGAGAAAAGAGGCCGCACTTTTTCTATATGGAAGCCCTGAAAAGACTTCTGCTGCGCCTCTTTGTGCATGCTCACATTTGTTTACATCTCTGAAATGCTTGTGTGTTGCTCTGGCAACCTTCCCGATCATTAGTCCTTTTCTTTGTCAGCGCTCCAGCCTTTAACAGGTCTGGCCTCTGTCACATAAACACAGCGAGAAAAGAGGATCTGCTCTGAGCTCCTGCACTCCACTTCACACAGCGGCAGCCCCGTCAGTCAGAGAAAAATAATTTTAAAAAACAGAAAGCGAGTGAGATAACAAAAAGGAAACCGAGCCAGAGGGAGGAAGGACAAAAAGGCAAGTAGGGAAATGCAGCTTTGCAGAGGAAATGGAAGGACATAAAACGATACAGCAAGCGAAGCATGAAGGAAAGAGAGAGAAGAAACAACTCAAGACAAAAAATAACTTCCCCCACAGTCACCTGGAGCTTTCTCTAATATTTGTGGGACGTTTAGTCTCCCAGTGGCTCTGCTTCCTCCTCAAGCGGTGAAATAACCCTCACCACTGTCTCAGCAGAGGATTATAAAACCTGTCACAGCAAGTGGCCAAGTAAAGGGGGCTCTTATGCAACACAGTGGAATTTAATACTACGGTTAGAGGTGTGGAGAGAGAATCTACAGTAAAAAAGAAACAGAAAAAAAAAAAAACAACAGACAGGAAGGAGGACACAGCAGAGACACTGCAGGGGGTGTAGGAGGAAGGAAACGGCAAGGAAGCAGGTTAAAAAAAAAAGTCTTGACACGCTTCATGACACAAGCATGAATCTCACTGTGACATGGCTCCCTTGTTTTGTAATAAACATGAACGTTCTGTACATCTGATGTTTCGGACATTTGTGAAGTAAACAAACCACCTACTTTGGCAACATCTTTAACTGGTTCTCCCTCAGCTCCAAGATCTGTAGCTTGGCCAACCTGCAACCACGAAAAAGTCAACGTCATTACTGTTTAGTACTTTAAATGATGATGTAGTAATCTTGACAGTCCTACAGGAACGCTGTATGAAATGCTTTTGAAGTTTAGTGGCCATGACTTTCTCATTCGGCTTAACTCCTATTAAACAGCTGTGATGAGCAGCTACATGACAGTTTTTTTTTCTTCTCTTGATTTAACTCAACAAAAAAAAAAAGCACAAGAGGTGTGTTCATAAGCGGAAACAGGAGGATTGGGGCTAACACCCACGTGGGCATCTCACGTCACATGTTTTGTGTAATCAAGAGGCTCAACACTAACTGTTGTGTAAACTACGAACAATAAAAGCCATGACTAATCCTGCTGGTCTGATGAATCGATGAGTTTAGCCTTTGTGTAAAATGAAACATCTTAAAAATCTGTTCAATAGTTGTGATTCAAAATCAGGAAATGAGATAAAAGGAGCACACTAACACAGTCATTTCACATCACATCAATTATTAACAGCTGATAGAATCTAATCATCCGGTTAAACATGTATTTAAGCTGTGTGGTCCTCAAATATGTGTGTACACTATAGATTGATTGCAAAAAGCGCTTAGTGACAATGACAAGTGGGAATTTATTTGATCCATGTCAAAGTACTTCATCACATCAATATCATCACTATAATGTGCAGATGACATAAGCTTGTCTTGTGTCATATTCACTATTTGGTCCACATGGCAACCAGCTCCACTGCAGACTGTACAGTGCACATGAATCCGTCTTCATCTCATCAAGCCAGCATCATTAATTTAATTATGTGACATGTTTTGGCATTTCTGACCTTTACTGCAGGAAGTTAAAGTCCATGTTTTTTGATTTGGAGCCAAGATTTTATTGGATGCTTTTATAAGATTTGAATTCTACAGAAGTTATACACAGTTAATACCAGGGATGGGTGATATAGAACAAAACAATTGTTGTGATAAAATGTTTAATTTCAGTAGATATTGAGCATTTGTAATTATTCTAATAAATATTATGTGTCAAGAGGAGTAGAAGAAAGATTTAATTTGAACCACCATTATCAAGGTAGGACAGACAGTTTATGAGCTGCTCCGGATTTGTTCATGCAATCAAACTTTACATTTCGTTATGTGCTTTCATGGTAATTTTCAACTAATAGATTCATGTAAAACTACTGAATGTTATATGGAGCAATTTTCTTACTGCTACTGATAAAGTGTCAATCACTGATACATGTAGTTATTGTTTTATTGCTAAGGCCTGAATTATACTCACAATCACATACACCTCATGTTATCACAGTCATGTTAGCGTCACGGCTTCACACAACACAAAAATGTAACACCATGGTCAACATCAAAGAGTAGAGCCTGAACGCACAGCAGAGCATTTTTGCAGAAACTGTTTTTTTTCTCATCTGAACTGACCTGCCAAAGCTGGCTGGTAGGAACTCCAGGAAGGCATCGTTCAGGTAGAGCTGCGTCAGACTTAGAAGCTGAGTGAAGCCTTCAGGGAGCCTGATAACACATACAGTACAAGAGCATGAATCACACACAAAGCCTCATAAAACTGCTGCAGTGCCAGACTGCTCAAACTCAGAATCCATGTGCAGCATTAAGCCCAAATGTAGCTAATTAGGACTGAAAAGCTTTTATGTGAGGGTGAGTTATACTTACTTGGAAATGGGATTCACACTGGCTTCTACAATAGCTAGGACTTTGCAATTCTTGATGTTTTCTGGAAACTCCTGGATACCTACAAAAAAAAAAACAACAACAACCCCAAAATTAGCATCAGTGGTTTAGAAATACGATAACTAAACATCTGCATGCTGTATCTCAACTGTTTTATTACCACCGACAGAAAACAAATGTCTCCTGTCCAATGAAGAAGATTGAGGATAACGCGAGGCAGCTTGATGGCGTTTAGTACCAGAAGCTTTGTGAATGTTAAACACAGGTGGATGGTGAGTAGAAGCAGGGAGGCTTTCTGCCTGAATCGTGAGTGCTCGAGCTACATTAAGAGTGGCTCTGCACCTTCCCTCTGTAAACAACCACGGAGAGGAGCACTCTGAGGGACACAATAAAAAAGTAAGAAAGGAAGAGAAAAAAAAAAAGAAGAGCGACAGTCCTCAAGTTCTTACTTCTACAGTGTGTGAACTGCAAGAAAGAGGACGTGACCAAGTCTCAAGGTTTATTTCTACCCACTTTGTTTTGTGTCCAAAACACTTAGCCTGGAGTGCTCTGAGTCGAAGGATAAGCTGCTTTTAATGTAAACATGGCACAAGCAGCTGTGGTTCACGAAAACACCACTACATCCTTCAACATCTGTTTAATCTAGGCCGCTACTGCACTCATTCATTTATATTAGAACCACCTTTTTAACCTTTCTTTATACACGAAAGGGTTTTGCTGAGCAGGCATTCTCTGTTTCTGCTCTGCTTCACTTTGAGGTTGTATGGTGATGACAACCTATCTTAACGGATCTTAACCTGCAGTGTAGCACCTGTCATTTAGTTTACAGAGATTACCATTGCTTTTATGGAGGCACGAAGATGATGTTGGATTGTTGAGGTTAATGTTGCGCTGTGACAGTGTGTTTGATATCTAATTAGTCTTAAAACCTGTGGACATGAAATCCAGACACGTGCACGTGATACGAGCTCACAGAACAGTATCCGTGAGTGGAAAACCATCCTCACGAGGGAGCATTTCTGCTCTGCTTGCACAAATGCGATCCTGAAAGCACGGGGCTATGACAAGCCTGAGTTCAACTGTCCCAGTGCGCTCGCAACGGCTCAACACTCAGTCGCTCTTCAAAATGGCTGAAGACTTTGGAGATGGGACAGTGGCTGATAGCTGTACATCTTTGATTAGTCACTTTCAGCACCCACAGTCTCCGGCCTGTCTCCTAACGTCCGACAGAGGTGGAAGAAGTACTCAGATCTTGTAGTTAAATAAAATCAACAATATCACAGTATGGAAATATGTAATCAACAAATACATTACGATGTATTATTGTTGGAAAGTCCTGCAGTGACGCCTTACTATTAGATAAGGAAACTTCATTGGCCCCAAAGGGGAAATTTAAAAACCATGCAGCAGGAAATATTCAAATCAGCTTCTGTTTTACCAGCGGCAACATAAAAGTGATGAACACATTAATGCATCAATAATTAAAATCCAATAATATAATATACATTATTCAGAAATGGACCATTCTGCATAGGGGCCAATTCATGCTTTCCACGTCCGTTTGCAAAGACTAATAAGCGGACAGCAGACAGGCATGTGCTGGTCTGTAAAGAGGGTTGCATTGCCTCTAATGTCGAACATAGAAAACACAGGGGGCAGCTTTCACAGGATATAGCAGCTAGTTACAGACTGAGCTATAGCAACATTACAGGAGAATTTAGCACTTCCCACTCTGGGCTCCATCAGTGGAAAGCACGTACAAATCAAAGCTCCTCTAGAATCCTGCAGCGACAACTTCAGCTACAACTCTGTTAATGATGAATTATAAAACAGTGTGAGAATCTCCTCATACCAAACAACTGTTTCAAGACCCACTTGTTTTCCCAGCACATGCCCAGTCGGTGCCTTTGTTCTGCAGACAGTTCCCTTGTGGATTTGGGTGGATGACTAAATTTATGCCACAAGTACCCTTGCAAACACAGAAAGCATGAGCAGACCTTGATATGTATTTTTTAATGTATTTGATGCTGATACTTTTACTCAAGTAAAAATCTGACTGCATGCCTTTCACAGAGTATTTGTCCACTGTGGTATTGCTACTTTTACATACTAAAGTCTCAAAAGTGAACTTGACAAGCAAGCTTGTGTTGAGAAGTTACGAGCATGTAGTGATGATTTAGCTCACGTTCATTGCAGCCCTGTGCTTCCAGGATAACGTATATGAATGTGGAGCAGAAATACTCCCTCGAGAGGATGGGTTTTTTTTTTTCCCTTAAGATACTATTCTGTGCACGTGTCCTGTTTTCATGTGCATGGATTGCAGACTAACTAAACACCATAGTTTGAATCAAAACCCTTTCTAAAGAATATGCAACAGAATGTTAACAACACTGAAATCACCTTCATGATTCTATGTGCAGCTGGTTACTGGAACAGAAAACTGTCAGACAACTTTTCTCTACAGCTGTTTGCTGTTCCAAACATCAGACTAGAACAGCACTGACAGAAGAAGGTTTTCATTAAACAGGCATTATTCCTTAAAGCAATAAAATACTGTCACTTCCTACTCTATAAAACTGCTGACAAGACACTTTTAGTTGAGCACCTTGCACACAAAATGTGTGAGAACCAGCAACGGCTCTTCATTTGCAGGAGTTGTTCTGTTTTATCCCTGCTGCTATGCTGTGCTATGGAGATAGCGTGTAAGATATTGCAGGTCTGGGCTTGTTTACTTTATCCATCACATCAGAGGATTTGAGGCATGCAGTTCTGTGACGTAACATGTGGTAAGTGAAACATTCAGTGGCATTTTACCTGAGAATATCACTGAAGAAATCTGAATATGGTATTAATTATGAAACTGTCTGGTAATTTTTTTTCCTCAAAATGTCAACAGCAGTCGTGACAACTGGGGCAGTTACACATTTGAACTTCACAGTTCACTGAAGCGCTAGCTGCGGTCAGTTTTCAGACTTTAGCAACTTGATCTGATACCACAGTTTTATATGACTCATTTAATGTGCCCTTCAAAACAGACATCGAACCTAAGTAACATTTCTTAGGAAAGGATTAAGACAAAATCACAAAGAAAAAGTCATTTTGCTTACTGTTTTTGCTGACATCAAGCTCCCTGAGATTGATGAGGTTTGCGATCGCTGCCGGCAACACTGTTAGGTCATTATCTGGCATGCTCAGTCGGTTGAGTAACTGGCAGTTAAACAGTTGCTGGCAGAGAGAGACAAACACAGTAAGTTAAACAGCAAGTTAATTTACAGTCGTGTAAGGTTGACATATCATATATAGTGTAATGTTAGATGTTGAAGTGTCCTGATTTTATAAAATGTTGAACGGCGTTATCCTAAAGCTTTTAGAAACAAAGCAGTGGGCATTAAAAGTTTCTATACGTCTCTATGTGTGCCTTACTTTAGGCAGCTCCTCGATCTGGTTGGCATCGAGGTAGAGTTCCTGCAGGGTCTTCTCAAAGCTAAAGATCTCCTTAGGAACAGTCTCCAGGCTGCAGTGGGAGTAGTCCAGCGATGTTACCGTCTCCTCCTCGCCCCGCAAGCAGCGGCACGGCACCAGGCGAACAAACAAGCTCCGCTTGGACATCCTTAGGCACTGGAGAGGGAAAACAGAGAGATATGTAAAGGGAGTAGAGTATTGGGAGGCCAGAAGGAGGTAGACATATGATATAGGTGTTTGGATTCTGTTTCTTTTTTTTTTTCCATTCCTCCTATGTAACACATATTTAATGTTTGTAATACAGTGCAATAATGAACACCAATTTAAACACACACAAACTCGTTTTTAAATGTCTCTTCATAGGACAGATCAATTTAAGATATCAGTGTCTAAAACACATGTACAGAAATGGTTTAAGCTCTGTTTGGACAAAAATGATAAACTCACACATTTAATTTGAATTGAACAGGTGAAAATAAAACATGACTAAGCGGTCATCTGTGGAGATTTAAAAGGACACATGACCCAGTACGTCACCTTAGTGTGGGAGAGCCCAATACAGTAGGAATGGGATCTGAGTCAACCGTTGTGACAAGTCCTTTATATGCGTGCATTGAGAAATCCCTCAGGCCATTCAATAAAAGGGAAATCCCAATGTTTACCAACTTGGGGCTTATTCTGTTTATGTCCAACAGCATTATTAGTCATGACAAGATTTTACTTGTCAGCTCAAATTGTTGTTGAGATTTGTGAAGCACAGACCACAGATGGAGGAGGAGTAGTGGCTAATTGCTCGACACCTGCAATTCAGTTTCTTTTAACAGGTTGACATCTGATAAATTCAAATTTCCTGGAAGGCGGTAGGAGGGCTCCCGTCTTGCCCTGATCAACACTGCTCTTCCCTTAGTCTGCATTTCATATCTCCAGTGTGGTGAGAAAACTGTCATAAAGAACAAAAATACACAAAGTTGAGTAATACTACCGTTTCCCTTTAATATCGCAACTCTCATTTTTGGGAACTACATTTATAAATAAATAGGCAATTCAGAAACTGGTCTGAAGGACACCGTGGTGTCCCAGCAGCATCAGCAGATTTATAACAGCTCTGTAGTGCAGAGACACTTCTGTAGAAGGACCTCTCAAAACAGCCGTGAGCTGCATCACCTACAGTAAATCCCATTAAATTTTCCAAGGTATTGCGCTGCCAGTGTGTTCTCAAATATGTGTGTTCTCAAACAGCTGATCAGTGACAATGAGTCACCACTCAGTGAATCAATACTTACTAAAAAACAGACAGATGATTTGTACTTTCTTTTTAAGTTTTTACCCAATATTCCAGAGAATGTCAACATTATTTTTCTTGTGGGAGAAAAACCTGTTTTCAGATTCTAACATTCCCATAGGTGTGCAAAATGAGTAGCTGTTCAACACTATGGGTTTGCTGCATCCCCATTTGGGTTGTAGCTGAGGATAAAAATGCACAAGGAAAAAAATCTAGGCCATGAATCAGCCATTATCTTGGAAATCCATGTCCTTGACTAGTTTTATCCAAAACTCTCTCCGCAGCAAAAAGAAGAGATGCAAGAGCCAGAAAATCTCTTCAGGCCTCATTCTGGATGGGAAGAGATTATAAAGTGAAAGGGAATAGAGTTGTAAACTGCTGTAGGCATGTGTACGAGTACGTATGTGTACATTTTGAGAGTCTCAGGTTAACAGAGGTTTTCACCAAGTACAGTACACACTATGGAATGTGCCCTGGTCAACAGAGGCTTTGTTCTTTGGAGCATGGCGAGAATGTGACTTTTCCTTCCCCTTGTCTTAATCTGAGTGCTGCCACAGCACATAATCTCAGAGTCCAGTCACTGCGTATCTTGACAGCGCAACTGAGTTGTAAAATTGTGACAGCTTTCACCTCAACAGTGCAGTCTATGGATGAGTGAAAGAACATGTTTGTGGTAGACAGTGCTACCAGGAGCAATGTCAATATATTATTTTTTTCCTCTGTGAAATATAGTAAACTGATTGTAGTCTATTGTATTCTCTCACGTGCACATATTCTTGCATGTGTGACCATATATGCATTTTCTGGATGGTGCAAAGGCTATTTTTGGAGGTACTCAAAATATGATTTATTTGCCTACCATGGTAAAGAGAAAAAAAGAAATATTACTCAATGCTTCTTGATTATATAATAATGAAGCAACTCTTCCAGAAGTACCTTTCAAAATCTGTCCAAAGTTGACTAAAATGAGGAGCGGTCAGCTATCTGAAACTCATTAAAATAATGGGTGCATGTATGCACACGCCCACACTCACATGAGGTATGCACAACCAAGCGGCTGTCAGCCTCCCACACAGTCTCAGCTATAGAAGCAGGCAGCTCATGTATAAATACTCTGAGTAATCTGGTCCATCACCAGAGGGGATGACAGAGAGCTTGGCTCCATTCACCCCGAGTAACGAGAACTGAGAGTATGGGTGACGCATGCTATGCAGGGTGGGAGGCGAGGGAGGATTGTTAAGGAGGGGAGTATGATATGGGTTAACAGAGAGAGGGGGTGGTTTTGGATTATTGTGAGGTATGCGAGGAAATCACAGAGCAAGAACAGAAAGTGTCATGAGAAAAGTTGCAGGGAGGGATGGATATAGCTTAGGAGACTAACAGGAAAGCAGCAAGAGCAAATCGAGGAAGATTAAGAGTGGATGTGCTAAACATATTAAAGCTGGTGGAAGAATTAATTCAGACCTTCAGGATGGGTTCGAAATGACTCCATATAATAATTCTAAAGGACCAAAAAATCTGACGCCTTGGCAACATAGGTAGGAGTCAGACTTTGAAACACTGTGCTTAAACTGTGCTAGATCAGCAAGCTGAGAATGACAATGCTGAAATACTGATGTTTAGCAGGTATTATGCTGATTATCTTTCATTTAGTGCTTCATCGTGCAAAGTAAGCACAGCTGAGGCTGACGGGAATGTTGGTTTTTCAAGCACAAACCAAAGTACTGATTGTACGGTATGACTGGTTACCTGATTTTGTAACCTTGAAAAGCCCCTCTAGTGAGAAAGATTTAATCTTTCTTATGTATGTTTATTCTTCATTAGAATTTGCTTGTGGTTCACACATGTATATATCTTCACATTTTATATTACATCTAAGCCATTTTAGGGCTGAAAAGGATCATTTTCATCGAAAAAAACTCTTAAATCTGCAACTTTGATGCACAGAGATGAGCTTATGGGAGTTTAAACAATGACTGGAGTGAGACATGAAAGGTCTGGCAGTACTGTGTATTTTTACATATCTAAAGCCTGGTATATCACATTATCTTATTGTTCAACTGTCACCCAAAAGCTATTAAAAACTCATCAGTGGGCCACACGAATGTTCTGAGTAACACCTTTCTTTTTTACTGCCAACACTTTATTTTGAGTTGCACACCAAACAAACACCTGACAATAGCCTCCGACAAATGTTCCACTTGCTTCTGTTCAAGCATTGTTTGCTAAAACACATATCCACTGACTAAAAATATTATTCATCCTTTTAAAAATTAAAAACATTAATTAACTGAATGTTTTTCAAGAATTACGTCTTCATACATGAAAACCAAGTTCGCAAATGGGTTTGAGGTTGAGAGCCACCGATGTTGAATATAAGTGAGAGAGCAATGAGAAACTAGAAGGCCATGCAGTCCTCTGCCAAACTTAATGCCCTATCTTGCAAGTTTAAAGGGAGTGATCCGGATCTGCATCAATATTTAATGTGTTCTTCCTCTGGCCATGCTTCACCTTTCCACCAAGCTTTGTGAAATGTGGCAGGGTAGTATTTTTTGCCTTTTTGCATAATCTTGCAGTAAGACAAATAAACAGTACTGAAAACACCTCCACATCGGTTGCTGTCTTGCCAGAGGACTGAACTAACACTTTTTATGGTCTTTTAGGAGCTTTGTTGACAAGAAGATAATAACAGAATATTACTATCCTCATTCCTTAAAAAACAAAAGCATGTTGCACAATGTCGGAGGATAACCGTGTGAGTCAGGTACTATTTGGAAACACAGTCCTTCAAAATAACCATGACAGAAATTGCTTCTTCTGCAATCGATGCAAGTTTCAACATTATTTTCTAAACCATGCATAATCCTGGTTACATTTGCATAATACATAACAGACCGTTAAAGTGTAAAGATTTGAATTCACTGCTGTGCAGCTGAAGGGCTGCTGGGAAAACAGAGCATCTATTTCCTACCTCCTTTGTGACCATGTTGGTTACGGTTTCTGTGCCTCGTTCCTTTGTGCTGTTTTTACTTTCTGCTACAAGAAAAGTTTTTTCCTACATGGGAAATAACGAGAAAGAGAAATGGACTGGATAACTTGCGCTGCTAGGCGAGCTGTCTAGTTGGTCGAAGCACCCCCCCCTCCTCCAGAGTAATCGGGAAGGCAGCACACTAATGAGAACCGCACTGCCTACAACATAGATAGGCTTATCCACTGACCTACATGTTACGGGAATGATGACTGACTACATTCACCCAGCTTTAGCCCATCAAGAGCTTTTGACTTCAGAACTAAGAAAATTCAAGACATGCAATACAGATTTCCAGACATGTTAAGCTCTCGGCTGAGATTTTCTTTCTTAGCCTACTTATTCAAGCAACACATTACTGAGATCATCCTGCTCGTAAGTGCTTTCCCTGACACTGTTAAAATCCTTTAAAAAAAAAAAAATTGTACAGTGTGAGTTTATGCAAACAGTGGCTGTATTTGTTCAGAAATTTCAAAATGTGTGGGCATGTGTGAATGGTGGACATGTGACTCTGCAGCCTGGCAGTGATCCCTGTGGCTTCCTCTGTGCAGCAGTGAATGAAATAGTCCAGAGGGCAGGCCAGTCACAGATTCCCACTTTATTCTCCCACTCAGAGCCAGGAAACCACTTCCCTGTCACAACCCTCTCCTTGTAACTTAAGTGCCTCCTGGGTCAGTGCTGTTGCTATAGAGACTACGGTGAGAGTCATGGGTAGAATCAGCTCTCTGGCCCACAAAGTCATACACTAAACACACAGCTGTGTTCACTTATTAACTACGCATGTGGAGAGCTACTGACTGATAAGAAGCTGTACAGAAGGCTCAACAAGAGGTGGTCATCGCTCGA